TGCTTCTTGGATGACCCAGAGTTATCTCGTACTTAACAAGCCCAAACTGGATTCACGAGACTTCCGCCAGACTTTTTACTTGGATGGAAACCAGAATGAATGATTGAGTGAATCAATTAATCGGGGACCACCATGTTTTATACATGCCAGTATATTTTCGAAATTCTGCCCTGTTTTTTGGTCCCAGGCAAATGGGGTGGTGGTGACGCGGAGAAGGTGAGGATTTGGGGCAGTTACAGGGTGGGATGGGGAAAGCTAAGAATGTATGACAGGCCTCTCCCTGCACCTCAACCTCACCTCCACCCTCACTGTGGCCTGCTGCCACCCACTCCCAGCCCCCTGGGTGGACAGCCTTCTCCGGGTGGGTGGGGCCTAGGGAAGGGCTGGTCTGGAGATGGGGAGGGGGCGGGGCCTGGAGAGAGGAGGGGGCGGGGCTTGAGATGGAAGGGGCGGGACCTGAGAATGAGGAGGGGGCGCGGCCTGGAGCTGGGGATCAGGCAGCACTTGGAGATGTGGAGGGGGTGGGTCTGGAGATGGGAAGGGGGCGGGGCCTGGCGATGGGGAGGGGCGGGGTCTGGGGAAGCCCCAGGCTTCTCAGGTGGACTGGGGCCGCGGGGGCCGCTGGGGGCTCCTTCCAGGGCTGGTGCGCGTGCGTGCGCCCGGGGGGCGGGGGCGGGGCGGGGCGCCTGGGCTTCTGGGACACGCCGGACCCGGGCGGCGCGGAAGGGCGGGCTGTGCCCTGCTGCTTGGCTCGGGCGTTAGTGCCCACGCCGGCTGCCCCCGCCCGGAGCCGCACGGCCTCCGCGGCTGCCGTCGCCACTGGCGCCCGGGCGGACGGAACGGAGCCCCTGCCGGGAGCCGCGCCCAGGGACCACCGGGTCGGTGGCGGTGAGGACGCGCTGTGCGGCTCGGGGAGCCCCGCTGCGGCGCGTCCGCGGGTTGGGGCGCGCGCCCCGCAGTGTGTGCGGGACCCCGGGGGGCGCGGGGGGCGCGGGCGGCGGGGAGGCGCGGGCTGCAGGAGGAGGGGTGCGCGCCGGAGCCCGGGGAGCCGCGTGCGGCGCCGCCTCTCTGCCCTGCTGCGGGGGCGGCCTGCGGGCCTCGTGCCGCCGGGGGGGGGGGGGGGGGGGAGGCTTCGGGGCCGGGATGACGGGGCTGGATCCGTGGGCCGCAGACGCGGTGGGAAATCTGCATCCCAGCTGGCCTTCTTCCCAGCCATTCCTAACCTCGCCGCCAGTGCGGACAGTTCAGGGCGTCTTTCTCGGTCTCAGACGCTCCGTGTGCACAGGGCCCTGTGCGCCCCTCTCCCTGCGCCAGGCGCGAAGGGGTTTACCTAGGCTGCTGCCTATCAGCTCTTTCGTTGAAATTTAAACTTGCTCTACAAAACAACCCTCTCCACCCACGGAAAGTACCTTGTGCATAATTGGCACCTGCTGAGTCCTCGGTGCTAGAAAATCCCTTGACCCTGTGGCCCCTGTTCAGTGCCCGAGATCCCTGCCGCCCGCGCCTGTCGCGCCCTCCGTGTCCGTGGGCCTGGCTCGCCCTCGAAGCTCTCCCTCGCTCCTGCCACCGCCGTCCTGAGAGGCGGCCGTTCACTGCAGAGGTTAAACTCTAAGCCTTCTTGACTTTGCTCGCGCCAGTGTTCATGGCTTACACAGCGCGAGGCTGCTCGCAGTCTCAGCCTTACGCTGACCTTCTGTCGTCCAACTGCTCCTTTTCTGGAATCCTCACTGCAAGCAGGTCCTCCTGAACGTCCCTGACCTTCGGGGCCTGTAAATATTGATACCGACTGAGTTATTAATTTATATTTTTAACCTATATATTCCCAGTATATATTTTTTTTGTTTTTCTCACTTGCAGTTGACTGTTTAATCATCTCATTCTTGTTTACGTACTTAAACAAGTACGTATGTAAGGCTTCGACATCTTTTTTTTTTAATTTTTTTTTATTTATTTATGATAGTCATACAGTGAGAGAGAGAGAGAGAGAGAGAGGCAGAGACACAGGCAGAGGGAGAAGCAGGCTCCATGCAGGGAGCCCAACATGGGACTCGATCCCGGACTCCAGGATCACGTCCTGGGCCAAAAGCAGGAGCTAAACCGCGGAGCCATCCAGGGATCCCCTAATTCTTCTTATTATTATTTTTTGGAATTCAATTTGCCAACATATAGCATAACATCCAGTGCTCAGCCCATCAAGTGCCCCCCTCAGTGCCCATCACCCAGTTACCCCCACCCCCCACCCACCTCCTTTTCCACCACCCCTTGTTCATCTCCCAGAGTTAGGAGTCTCTCATGTTTTGTCTCCCTCTCTGATATTTCCCTCTCATTTTCTCTCCTTTAACCTTTATTCCCTTTCACTATTTTTTATATTCCCTAAATGAATGAGACCATATGTTTGTCCTTCTCCGATTGACTTACTTCACTCATGATGTGTGATGTTTTTATTGTTTTGAATTTCAGTGGTATTTTAGGAGCAAAGTTTAAATTTCAAATTAGTTGAGAATGTTTTTTCTGTTTCTGTTAAATTCTAGTTTTCATTCTAATAATAAAGGTGGTCTCCACCACTGGTAGATACTTTTTATTTGAGGACTTTTGTAATTTAAAATATAGTAGTTTTTGTAAACATTTTCAAAAGTGCTTGAGTAGAACTTACATTGTAGGGCCGCTTGGGTGGCTCAGTTGGTTAAGTGTCTGCCTTAAGCTCAGGTCATGATCCCAGGGTCCTGGGATGGAGCCCCATATGTGTTTCATTGCTTTGCAGGTAGCCTCCTTCTCCCTCTCCCTCTCTGCTACTCTTTCTGCTTGTTTTTTTTTTTTTTTAAGATTTTATTTATTCATTAGAGACACACACACACACACACACACACACACACACACACACAAAGAGAGAGGCAGAGACACAGGCAGAGGGAGAAGCAGGCTTCATGCAGGGAACCTGTTGTGGGACTCCATCCTGGTTCTCCAGGATCAGGCCCTGGGCTGAAGGCAGTGCTAAACTGCTGAGCCACCTGGGCTGCCCGGTGCTCTTTCTGCTTGTGTTCTCTTTGTCAAATAATTTTAAAAAAAGAATCTTATTTTAAAAAGTGCTATCTCGTTTTATATATCACATTTAAATACATTTTGCATATCTACTATATTGTTATTTAATTTTAGTGTATCTTGCTAAGGATTTAGAAAGTTGCCATAATCTCTACTATTTCTAGCATGTCATTGTTGATTTCATCTTTCGTTTTCTGAGGAATATGTGATAAATATATTCCAATTATGTTATATGGTACATTTAACACGCCATATTTCAGCATAAATTGTACCTTTGGTCATTTAATGTTTTATCTTTGTCTGGTATAATGCATTTGTGCTTTTTAATTCATTATATTTCTGTGTATTGTTTATACTTGGCTTTTGGAAGATCTCCCAGAGTAGATGCCCATTAGGAAACCAATCTACTGATACAACAGAAGTAGAAATTGGTATGACCCTCTGGAATAGTCACCCTAACGCTTAAGTATGAACAGAAAACTAAGAAAACTAAACTATTTATTTATAAATAAATAAAATCTTTAAAAAATAAATATAAAAAAATAAAACTCACCTCTCTGTAGTAAACCTGGGCATAGAAATGAGAGTGGGGTAGAACCCTTGATTTTCATCATAAAAGTTCTCATATGCTTTTGATCATTTTTCTTTTTGCCATATGCATGGATCACTTTGAGTTGAAAAAATTTCTCTATAATTTTAATTTGCTTTACACCATAAAATGTTGTTCTCCCTTTACCTCAGCATTTCTGGAGAGACTGTTAGGTTTGTCATATCATTGGTTCAGTGAAGTGTCCCTTTTGTTCTTTACTCCTTCCAACCAAGGTTGTCAGTCTCTTAATCCATTTTGATATTTATCTTAATCTCCTCTTGTTTTACCAAATGACTCCCTAATTCTGTTCCACAAATTTACCATGCATCCTTTTGAATATGAATACATCAGGCAAGTGTCTTTAATATCTTAAATAAAATTTTTATTTTATCATTTCAGATTTACAGAAAAATTGTGAATAAAGTGCAAAGGATTCCCACATACCCCACACTCATTTTCCCTATTAGTAACAAATTAGTACGGTACATTTGTTGCAGTCAGTGAAATAATATAGACATGTTAACTGAAGTCCATACTTTAATCATACTTCTTTGATTTTTACCTAATGACCTTTATCTGATCCAGGATCCCACCCAGGATGCCACATTACATTAAGTTGTCATATGTCCTTAGGCTCCTCTTGGCTGTGACAGTTTCTGAGACTTGCTTTTTAATGACCTTCACAGTTTTGAGGAGTACTAGTCAGGTATAGTATGGGAAGCCCATCTATTAGCATTTGTCTGTTAGAATTTTTCTCATAATTAGACTGGGGTTATGGGTCTGGGAGGGGAAAATCACAGAGATAAAGTGCTGTTTCTACCACATTATCTCAAAGGTACATACTCCAGCGTGACCTGTCATTATTAATATTAACTTTGATCACATGGCTGATATATATTTTTCAGCTTTCTCCACTATAAATTTACTCTTTTCCCCTCCTCCATATATACTCTTCCAAAGAGATTCACTATGCAGAGCCCAAACTCAAGGGACAGAGTTATGCTCCACTTCCTGGAAGGCTGAGTATCTACATAAATATGTGGAATTCTTCTGCATGAGAGATTGGTCTATTCTTCCCTGTTTATTGATTGATTCAGTCAGTCATATATATCTATATTGCTTATGGGTATTAATTTTATGATTTAGGTTATTGCTCATATTGTTTCAGCTTTGGCCCCTGGGAGTTCTCTCACTTGACTCCTGGACGTATATGACATGATCCAGTACATGTGTTTTTGTTTTTGAGCTCTTATTTAGTTTTTTTTTTTTAAGATTTTATTTATTTATTCATGAGAGACACAGAGAGAGAGAGAGAGGCAGAGACACAGGTAGAGGGAGAAGCAGGCTCCATGCAGGGAGCCTGACGTGGGACTTGATCCTGGGTCTCCAGGATCAGGCCCTGGGCTGAAGGCAGTGCTAAACTGCTGAGCCACCTGGGCTGCCCTCTTATTTAGTTTCTAATACTTCAAGATGCTCCAGTGTATATCTTCTGCTCCAGTTCTAGAATAAGCCATTTCTCTCTAGACCCTTGGTTCCTTGTATTGCATTAAAAACCAAAATCTGGGAACTAAGTATTGTTGCTTCTGGGATGTTCTTGCTTCTAGGTCCACTCAGCTGACAGAGCAAGGAAATATATGTGTGTATACCAACCCCTGTATATACAAATATCTATGATAAGTACTTCTGTATGTAACCACTTTTACCTGTATCAAGCTAAATATAGGTTCATATTGATATTTCCAACTCTAATTCATTACCGCCTGGGTCATTCTTATTTCCTTCCCTTGATTATCTGTAAACTACTGAAACATGGAGAAACCTGCCTCTCATCGTCTATGATCCACTTATTGTTCAGTATAGCAGTATCAGAATTGTTAACCTATACCTCCATAGGAATTAACTTTATCAACTAGAGTACAGTGCTACTGTATATTTTCCTCTGCCTTTAGTCTTACAGATTCCACTCATTTCCATACTTCTATTTTTTTCTTCAGAAAGTTGCATTCTAAAATGTTTTTTTCCGGGGATCCCTGGGTGGCGCAGCGGTTTGGCGCCTGCCATTGGCCCAGGGCGCGATCCTGGAGACCCGGGATCGAATCCCACGTCGGGCTCCCGGTGCATGGAGCCTGCTTCTCCCTCTGCCTGTGTCTCTGCCTCTCTCTCTCTCTGTGTGACTATCATAAATAAATAAAAATTAAAAAAAAAATAAAAATAAAATGTTTTTTTCATTTGACTTTTTTGAGCATTGTGCATTTTTCCTTCTATACTGTCTTTTCATTGGTCTCCATATATTGTTCTCTCCCTCTGTCTACTAATCCATATTTGAATGTTGAGTGGTCTTTCAAGTAGACATTGCCAACAGATGAGGTCAGGAAGTACTTTTGTGAACAAACTTTTGGCCAATCTGTAAGATCTGCTAATAAGCAGACCTATACATGTATAGATTAAATAGTCTATTGAGTGCTGTGTGTGGGTTTTTTAATGGTTGTTATATGATTCCAGTAAAACACAATGGAAAGTATTGAAAATTGATACTTTGCCCATTGCTTCAGGTTTTTTTTTTTCCCTAAACCTTTGATGCCTTTACCCATTTCTCCCACCTGCCACCCTTCTCCTCCAGCAAGCACCAATTTGTTTTTTTGAGCTTGTCTTTTTGTTTGTTTTGTAAGATTACACATATAGGAGAGATCATACAGTATTTTTTTTCTCTGACTTTAGTTCACTTATCATAATGACCTCAAAGTTCATCCATGTTGTTGCCAGTGGTAAGATTTTATTCTTTTTATGGCTGAATAATATTTCTCTGTGTGTGTGTGTGTGTGTGTGTGTGTGTAGATAAACATCTTTATCCATTCATCTCTTGATGGACACTTAGGTTGTTTTTATATCTTGGCTATTGTAAATGTGCAATGAACATGAGGGTGCATATATCTTTCCCCATTAGTGTTTCCATTTTCTTTGGATAGATGCCTAGAAGTGGAGTTGCTGGATCATAGGGTAGTTCTATTTTAATTTTTTAAGGATCCTCCATTCTGTTTTCCACAGTGATTGCACCAAGTGACACCACCATCAACAGAGCACAAGGGTTCTCTTTTCTCCACACCCTTAGCAACACTTGTTATGTCTTGTATTTTTCATAATAATCATTCTAACAGTTATGGGGTGATACCTTATTGAGGTTTGATTTGCATATGCTTGATTATTGATGTTGAACATCTTTTTATATATCTGTTGGCCATCTGCATATCTTCTTTGGAAAAACATTCAAATCTCTTCTCTGGAAAAATAGTCAAATCTTATGTCTTTAAAACATTGCTTTTTTGTTATTAAGTTGTGTGAGTTCTTTATGTATTTTGGGTATTAATCTCTTATCAGATATATGATTTGCAAATATATCTGCAAATCAATCATGTGATATACCACATTAAGAAAATGAAAAATAAAATCCTATCATTTCAATAGATGCAGAAAAAGCACTTGACAAAATTCAACATCCACTTATAATGATAAACTCTCAACAAAATGGTATTGGGTGCTTATTATCTGCCAAGAAGTGAATGGGTGTTCTTTTAATCCCTATAATTCAGTCAGATGGGTATTGTTATATCCATGTTACGGTTGAGAAAACTCAAGGTTTGGTAAAATAATTTGCTTAAGTTTATACATGTAGTAACTAGTACAGCTGGGATTTAACCTCAGGTCAGTATGACTCTAAAGTATGTACTCTTAGTCACTGTATATTCTCTATAGCAGGGTTTCTTTCTTTGGAATTACTGACACTTTGGACTGGATAAGTCTATGTTTAGAGCATTGTCTTGTGTATTTTAGGATGTTTAGCAGGATTCCTGGGCTCCTCTCACTAGATGCATGTAATACCCCCCAGTCGTGACAGCCAGAACTGTGTCCAGACATTGTCAGATTTCCCCTGGTACCATATGTCCCCGGAAAACCACTGGCTTAGAGATGGGTAATAAAAGTGAACCCTGAAAGTTTGAATTACATCCAGACTGGGAGAATTGTAAATTGGATAGAAAGCTGTATCTGAACTTCTCTGAATGTAATGACTCTCATAATTGGGCAAGCTTTTGGGGGAACGCTGAGTGCTCTGCTCTTAAAGTTTTTAAAAGATACTGGCTCTTATGGGAATGCTTTTCAGTCAGTATGCTTTCTGCACAACCAATGTGGATCTCTTCATTTGGCTATACTCTATGAGGACTCCCACAGAAGAACAGTGCTAGTTACTCTGCTAGTAAGCTGTGTTTTCTGTCCAGTGGCCTTCTGAACAAACTAGTGCCAAATACGGCCCATGTAGTCTTGTGTGTCTACATGTTTAGTTGAGCCTATAACCTCCCTGGTGAACATTGCAGATTGGCCCATAGTGAGTCCTAACAAATGAAAACTCCTAATCATTATAGTCTGGGAATGCACTTTTTTTTTAATTGAGGTAAAATTAATATACAGTATTAGTTTTAGTATTCAACATTGATTCTACAGTTCTATACAGTACTTAAAATGACCACCATGGTAAGTGTAGTCTATTGTACATATATTGTACACAAGTGACAATAACATCTGTCACCATGTGTTATTATGATATTATTACCTATATTCCCTATGCTGTACTTTTCATCTCTGTACTTATTTTATAACTGAAGTTTTTTCACATCCCCCCACCCACCTGTACTCTGGCAGCACCAATTCTCTATAGTTAAGAGTCTATTTGGTTTGTTTGTTTGCTCATTTGTTTTAGTTTTTAGATACCACATGTAAATGAAATTTTTTTTTCTCTTATTTCACTTAGCGTAATACCCTACAGATCCATCCATGTTGTTGCAAATACAAGATCTCATTGTTTTTTATGACTAATATTCAATTGTACATGTATACTACCTCTCCTTTATACATTCATCTTGTGTTATTTCTGTATCTTAGCTATTGTGAATAATTCAATAAACATAGGGGTACATATATCTTTTCAAATTAGTGTCTTCATTTTCTTTGACTAAATACCCAATGGTGAAATTACTGGGTCATATGGTATTTCTATTTTTAATTTTTTGACAAACCTCCATACTGTTTTCCACAGTGGTTGCACCAGCTGACATTCCCACCAATAGTACACAAGATTCCCTTTTCTCTACATTCTTAACAACACTGGTTATTTCTTGCCTTTTTGATACTAACCATTTTCTGACAGGTATGAAATGATAGCTCATTGTGGTTTTATTTTGCATTTCCTGACGATTAGTGATGTTGAGCATCTTTTCATGTACCTGTTTGCCATCTGTATATCTTTGGGAAAATGTCTATTCAGTTCCTTTTCCCATTTTTTAAAAATATGCTGTTTATTTATTCATGAAAGACACAGAGATAGAGGCAGAGACACAGGCAGAGGGAGAAACAGGCTCCATGCAGGGAGCCCAATGTGGGACTCAATCCTTGCACTCCAGGATCATGCCCTGAGCTGAAGGCAGACGCTCAACCGCTGAGCCACCTAGGCGTCCCTCTTCTTCCCATTTTTTAATTGAAGTGTGATGTGATATGTGTGTGTGTGTGTGTGTGTGTGTGTGTGTGTGTGTTGAGTTGTATAAGTTCTTTATATATTTTGGATATTAAATACTTATCAGATACGTCATTTTCAAAAATATTCTCCCGTTCAGTAGGTTGCCTTTTGTTTTGTTGATGCTTTCCTTCACTGTGCAAAAGATCTTTATTTTGATGTAGTCCCAGTAGTTTATTTTTGCTTTTGTTTCTCTTGTCTGAGAAGATATATCCATAAATATGTTGCTAAGGTTAATGTCGAGGGATTACTGCCTGTATTTCTTTTAGGAGTTTTATGGCTTCAGGTCTCATATTTAGATCTTTAAATCCATTTTGAGTTTATTTTTGTATGTGGTGTAAGAAAGTAGTCCATTTGCATTATTTTGCATGTAGCTGTCCAATTTTCCAGCACCATTTATTGAAAAGACTGTCCTTTCTTCATTGTGTATTCTTACCTCCTTTGTCATAGATTAATTGATCATATAGATATGGGTTCTTCCTGGCCTATCTATGTATCTATTTTTGTGTCATTTTTTGATTTATCCCTGACAATGAAATGATTCATATTTATTCTTTTATTTTTTAAACAATTGTTTCTTAATTTCTAGGAGCGTTTGCAATTATACTCATTTTATATAACCTTATTGATATTTTAGTGAGAATTTAGAAAGAGATATTTTTAGGCATCACTAGTGTAAAGCCTTAATAACTTGAATATCTTTCTGAAGATGTATTTTGCTTAGTTTTAAAGCAAAAATGTATTGTCGCCTGATGCAGGAGAAATCTAATTGTAATTACGAGGTTTGTTTTAAAAAGATTGTCACTTTTTGTGTGTTGTCTGTGTTTGTTTTCTGTCTTTTTGGTGGGTGATTAAGGGGAAGAGACAGCATATTTTCTTGTTATAAAAAAAGAAAGAATGGAAGGATAATCCATAATATTTATCTTATTAGACAATTTTAAGAATATTATTTGTATTATTTTATCTTTTAACACTGCTAAAACATGTTCATCATATATAGGTCATATTGGTGTCTTTTTTTTTCATTGTCTCAGGTACCTGACTGTTGGCTTTGTGTCTGAAGCTCCTGGAAGTTTTCTCTTTTTGAGATAGAACTTGGCTGAAATCACACTGCACACATATTGTATACAAGTGCTTAGCCCGTGCCCAAGAATTACTATCCTCTAGTAAGACAAATTTGAACTACAGTGGGAGTTCTGTATAGGAAGATGCAGCCTCTGATCAAGTTGATGGCTATCTCAAAACCTCAAAACCTGACTCTAAATGAACAAAGTGAGGCCCTGAGATCAGATGTATCTTGGCAACAGGAATCCATCCCAGTCATGGAAACATATGACTCTGAGGCCTCTCGTCAAAAGTTCAGACATTTCCAGTATTTGGAAGTGTCTGGGCCTCATGAAGCCCTGTGCCAACTCTGGGAGCTCTGTCTTCAGTGGCTGAGACCAGAGGTTCATACAAAGCAGCAGATCCTAGAGCTGTTAGTGCTAGAGCAATTTCTGACAATTCTCCCTGAAGACATCAGGACTTGGGTGAATTTACAACATCCAAAGAACAGCAAAGAAGTGGTGACCCTCATAGAGGATGTGATTGAAATGCTTAACAATAAAGGTGAGAATTTGTAGAAAATTGTCAGTAGAATTGTTGACCTTTATGTGGAATCTTGAAAAAAAAAAGAAAAATGAGCTCATAGATACAGAGAACAGATTGGTAGTTGCCAGAGGTGGGGATGGAGGGTGGGCAAAATGAGTAGAGGATCACAAGGTATAGAAACTTCCAGGTATAAAGTAAATAAGTCGTGGGGATGTAATGTATAGGGTAGTGACAGTTGATAATACTGTATTTCATATTTGAAAGTAGTTAAGACATTAAATCATAAGAGCTCTCATTACAAGAAAAAAGTTTATAACTATGTATGGTGACAGATGTTAACTAGACTTATTGTGATGATCATTTTGTAATGTACATAAATGTTGAAGCATTACATTGTACACCTGAAGCTAATACAGTTGACCCCTGAACAACATGGGTTTGAACTGTGTATCCAATTATACGTGGGTTTTTTTTTTCCAATAAATACAGCACCGCACTGTAAGTGTATTTTCTCTTAAGATTATCTTAACATTTTCTTTTCTCTAGCTCACTTTATTGTGAGAATATAATATGTAATACATTTATAAAATGTGTATTAGACTGCTTATGTTATTGGTATGGCTTCTAGGCAGTGGTAGACTATGAGTAGTTAAGTTTTTGGAGAGTCAAAAGTTATATGCACATTTCCAACTGCTCAGGAGGTTAGTGCCTCTGACACCCTTGTTGTTCAAGGGTCAGCTGTATGATATTGTGTGTGAATTATACCTCATGTAAAAAGACGAAAAGAGCATTAAAAAAAAGTTATTGACTCTTCCCATATGAAAATAAATTATCTCTCTCTGAAGCTAGAAGATGTCAAGTCCAGATCCTGAAGGAGTTTCCTATATCAGGAAGCATGAATTTTATTCTGTAGGAAATAGAAATAGGGAATGAGATCTCACAGAATGGGTAGGGGAGTAAAATTATTTGATTTGCCTTTTAAAATGTCATTTTGATAACATTAGAGAGTAGTGGTTGGCAAACTATGGCCCAAAGGCCAAATATTTTTGGAAATAGTGTTTTTGGAACACAGCACATCCACTGATTTACCTTTAGTCTACAGTTACTTTCATGCTATGACTGGAGTCGATTAGTTACAGCAGAGACCGTATTGCCTGCAAAACCCAAAATATTTACTATCTGAATCTTTGCAAAAGAAGTTTATCAACATCTTGTTTAAAAGATAGACCTGAGGGCTCTGAAAACAGGAAAATCAGTTAAGATAGATGAGGTGTTAAAGAATGAGGGAGTAGGGATACCTGGGTGGCTCAGTGGTTGAGTGTCTGCCTTTGACTCAGGGCGTGATCCCGTAGTTCCAGGATTGAATCCTACCTTGGGCTTCCTGCATGGACCCTGCTTCTCCCTCTGCCTATGTCTCTGCTACTCTCTCTGTGTCTCTCATGAATAAATAAATAAATAATTTTTAAAAAGGATGAGGGAGTATTGGGAAAACAGAGGAGTTTGAGCCAGAAGGAATTATGGGCTGCATGTAAGGTGTGAGTGGGATAAGATTGATGTAAATGTGCATGTTCTTGCTTTATAAGAATGGGGCATAAGTAGCAGATTTTATGGGAAGGGATTTATACAGTAATTATGTGGCTTTTTTTTTTTAATGTGGCTTGTTTAATTTGAGGTCTCTGTGGGTTTGAAAACTTATAGGTACAAACAGAAGTAGGAGAAATATATATCCTCAGGGAGCATCAATATTTAAGGGCAATTGCAGATATAACTACTCATTATAGGAAATACAGAAGATGGGGGAACATGTTAAATTATACCAAGGGAATGCTATTAGTAAAATTTAAACTCTGAGAAACCACAGGACAATCTAGTTTCTAAGACAAAATAATTTTGTTTCTGTTTGTTTTTTTTTTTTAAAGATTTTACTTAGAGCAAGCACATGTGCACAAGCAGGGAGGGAGGGAGAGATGGGGAGAGAGAACCTCCAGTATTCTGCACTGAGTGTGGAGCCCAGCATACAGCTTCATCTCATGACCCCATAATCTATGAGCTGAGCCAAAATCAAGAGTTGGACATTTAACCGACTGAGCCACCTAGGCACCTCTCTGAAACAAAATAATTTTAAAGGAGAAGTAGGGGTATGGAAGAGGGATTTAGAAATTAATGTAAAAGATGTATGATCAATCACATAAATGTGTGAACCTTATAAGTCATGAGGCAATTAATTGGATATTTGACAAGGAATTATTGACTGGGAACAGTGATATTGTTATTGTTCCTATGTTTAGTCCTTATTTGAAAAAGAAATAAAGGACTAAACAGAAGAAGAGAAGCTAGGTAAGCAGGCTAGAAAACTGTGACCTAGGACATCAGAGAACTAAGAAGCGTTAGTATCTTGAGCTAAGAAAGAAATCTTCAAGAAGGGAGTGTTCAAAAATGGTGTGACAAAAAGGTTTTCCTCTTAAGATAAGTATTGAAAGTAATTTCCTGAAATTGTTGATTATGAAGTAATTGTTAAGCTCTGGAAAAGTTTCAGAGATTGAGTTGAAGTGGTGCTTATTTGTAGTTAGTTATATTTAGTTTTCTGTTACTGTTACAACAAATGACCACAAAGTTAGTGGCTGAAAAGAATGTGAATGTATTTTACTACACATTTGTAGATCAGTAGTCCAACATGGGTCTCCCTGGACAAAAATCAAGGCCTCGGTAGGACTGCATTCCTTTCTGAGCCTCATGATTCCCTTCGCCCATCTTCAAATCTGGCAATGGCGAGCCATGTCTTTTCCACGCTGCTTTCTCTTCTGCTCCATTCTTTGGTCACAGTACATGTACTTGCTCAGTTGAGCATGTTTGCTCTCTCTGTGTGTGTCTCTCTCTCTCCCTCTCTCTCCCTCTCTCTCCCTCTCCCTCCCTCTCCCTCCCTCTCCCTCCCTCTCCCTCCCTCTCCCTCTCTCTCCCTCTCTCTCCCTCTCTCTCCCTCTCACTGTGTCTCACTTTCACTGACCACAGCTGGGAACCTTCAGTTATTTAGAATTCATGTGATTAGATTGTGACCACCCAAATAATCCAGGGTAATTCCTCATTTCAAGGTCCTTAACTTTAATCGTTCCTGCTGAGTCCCTTTTGCCAGTATATCCAAGGATTAAGGGTGTTGGTATCTCTGGGGTCTATTATTCTCCCTATCACATTCCCCCACCCCCACCCAAAACAAAACGGATGGATGAGGTATGAATGTGATAATGATTATAGACTATTGAAGTTTGGTTTAGGAGGAAAGGAGAGGTTGCTAGGTAATAGAGGATGAGAAAGGTTTTTAGTTTCTTTTAATCTGTCTTGGCTCTCTGAAGAACCCACCCAAAGGACTTGCTCTTATTTTATCTGACTTAGAACTCTCCCAGGGCAGAGGTAAGCCACCTACAGGGCACTTGTCAAAGCATTTAATGGGAAATGTGTTAGCCTCTGCCACTAAGTGAATAACTGTTGAGGCAAACACAAAAAGATTGGGAGGAAAGGTTGGGGTATGAGATGCTCTGGGAATAAGGGATTTGAAAAGTTTGTATGTATTCCTAGAGATCTAGAAGGCTGGGCACATGTTCAGAAAGATGTGATAAGGCCTTAACTGTCACTTTTGGCTGACCTTCAGGCTTTTCATAAACAGGAACTAAAGATTAAGGTAAAATTGAAAAATTATCTGGCTAAGTGTTGAAGGCCAGCTTCAACACACACAGCCCATCTGCAGACTAGGAAATGGGTGTGTGTGTGTGTATGTGTGTGTGTGTATGTGTGTGTGGTTTTTTGGTTTCAGGTAGCTAAGGAAATCTTAAGTGGACACATACAACAAAGAATATAGACTTTGCAAATCAGTTCAGAAAAGTAATTGAGCAAGAATTGCAACAATCAGGCTCCCAAAAATATGAAGCAGAAAACTGACAGAAATGAAGGGAGAAAGAGGTCAAGTTTAATAGTTGGAGACTTCACTTTAGAGGATTGATTATACACCATGATCAAAAGGGATTTATCCCAGGAATACAGGATGGTTCAACATATGAAAGTCAACATTATATACCATACTAATATAATTAAGGGGAAAATCTCAAGGACCTCGATGCAGAAAAGCATTTGGCAAAATCCAATGCCCTTTCATGATAAAAGCACTCAACATGCTAGGGATAGAAGGGAATTTCTTCTTTCTGATAAAGGGCATCTGTGAAAAACTTACAGCAAACAACATACTTAATAGTTAAAGACTGAAAGCTTTGCCCTTAGGATAAGGAACAAGATAAGGATACCTACTCTCACCACTTCTGTTCACCATTATACTGCAGGTACTAGCCAGTGCAACTAAACAAGAAAAAGAAGTAAAAGGCATCCTAATTGGAAAGGAAGAAGTAAAGCTGTCTTTACTGTTATTTGATTTGTTGTTATGCAGCTCACCCTTAAACAACATGGGCTTGAACTGCGTAGGTCCACCTTTATGTGACTTTTTTTGTTGTTGTTTTTTAAGATTTGATGGCAAAAGCCACAAGGCATTTATTTACAACTGCCCACTCATCTCCACAAGTCAAATGGAAGACAACTGGTTTAAAGGTCATAACTACTACCCTTGAGTACCCAGAGAGGCCTGCAGAGCCTGTCAGCAGCCTTGGGTCCCTGAGACTGGATTACCTATCAATTTTTTTCATCAAAAAATAATTTTAGGGTGGCCCCAGTGGCTTAGCGGTTTAGCGCTGTCTTCAGCCCTGGGTGTAGTCCTGGAGACCCAAGATCGAGTCCCACGTCAGGCTCACTGCATGGAGCCTGCTTCTCCCTCTGCCTCTCTCTGTGTGTCTCTCATGAATAAATAAATAAAATCTTTAAAAATAATAATAATAATTTTAAAAAGACAGCCTGTATTCATGTATTGGATGACTTAATATTGAGGTGATAATGCTCTCTAAAGCATCTGCAGTTGAATGAAATTCGTATCAAAATTCAGCTACCTTTATTGCAGAAATAGACAAGCTAATCCTAAAATTCATATGGAATTACAAAGGACTCCAAATGCTCAAAACAGCCTTGATGAAGTACAAACTTTGAGAATGCATATTTTCAATTTCAAAATTTACCCCAAAGCAATGACTTTAGTTAGGACAGAATTCTAATTATCCCTAATCCCTAATCCCTCTTCTCCCTAATCAGAATCACTATTAGAGCTTTTAAAGACTATAGTGTTTGAGCTCTCAACCTTTGGAGATTCTGTTTGCTGGTAGGGGCTGACATGGCTATTTTTCCAAAATTCTAAAGATGATTCCTATGTGCTTAAACTACTATAATCATTAAGTGTTTCTCCAGGGCAAACCTTATCTCCCTAATGTTTTTGTTCATCTTCCTCAGAGATACCCTGCAAGGATTCTGTCCTGCTCCAGAAGGAGAGCATTAAGGAGAAAATGGATGCTGACTCACTAAACGTCAATTCCCAGGTGAATTAGGATCTTTACTGGAATGACCTTTTTCTTTTTGGCTTTTGAACTTTTGCTAAACATAGGTCCATCTAAGGACATAAGACTGTTACTTCTCCCATAAGACATTGGATCCATTTTGTTTTATTTATTTTTTTTTAATTTTTATTTATTTATGATAATCACACACACACAGAGAGAGAGGCAGAGACACAGGCAGAGGGAGAAGCAGGCTCCGTGCACCGGGAGCCCGACGTGGGATTCGATCCCGGGTCTCCAGGATCGCGCCCTGGGCCAAAGGCAGGCGCCAAACCGCTGCGCCACCCAGGGATCCCGGATCCATTTTGTTTTAGTTGGTGATGAACTCTCTGGAAAATATTTAATCTTTCTATTTTTCTGTGCATCTTTTCCCTCAAGTTTGTAGATGATAAAGCTATAGAAATAGAGCCCACCAGAGAATGTTTAGAATTAAAAGTGAAGGGGGATACCTAGGTGGCTCAGCGGTTGAGCATTTGCCTTTGACTCAAGGCATGATCCTGGATTCCCTGGATAGAGTCCCATGTCAGGCTTCTTGCATGGAGCCTGCTTCTCCCTCTGTCTGTGTCTGTGTCTCTGCCTCTCTCTCTCTCTCTCTCTCTCTCTCTCTTTCTCTGTCTCTCATGAATAAATAAATAAAATCTTAAAAAAAAATAAAAGAAAAGTGAAGGGAGCCAAGGACAGTATCCTGAGTAAGGTCATTGATTAGGCAGGAGCAGAGGAAACCTCAAAGAAATACTGAAATGAAAGCATCAAAATGGTAGAGGAAAACCAAGAAGATAGGATGTCACCAAAAGCCAAAGATGAGAAGATTTCAAGGATAAATCCTTTAAAAATTTAGGAAAATTTAGCCTGAAGAGTACCTATTTCCTAAGCATTGTGGAGATACTGTCATACATGGGAATAAAAGCCAGGTTGCAGAGGACTGAGGAAGACAGTGAGGAGGAAGTAGGCAAAACTAATGTAGATGATTTACTCACAAAGTCGTGATGTCTTAGAGTCATCTGGCTCTGAGGTAGAGTGAGGAAAGAGATTCGTGTATTTCATTGTGATCGAAGGTGCCCATTATGACAAGGTTGAGAATCCTGGGGAGAGAAGTGCAACAATTGCTGGTGTGAAGGCCTTCATAAGAAATATTTGTGTAGTTCCCGATATGCCACTTGTCTAAGGGCTGGGAATATGATGATGAACAAAAGGAAACCCCCTGCCTTTGTGGAAATGTCAGTAGAAGTAGATAGGTACACACATGCAAATAAGATAATTGCAGATAATAATAATTATTACAAAGAAAAGAAATAAATACAGTAGAGACCAATGAGGAGGGTGGCTACTTGGTTTGGGTAATCAGGAAAGGACTGCATGATGAGATGTCCCTGGGCCGGAAGCCCTAAATAGGAAGGAGTTAGCAGACTGCATTTCTCAATTAGAGAAAATACCCTACCTTTTCTGCTAGCAGAAGCTCCATCTTCATTACAAAGTCCCCTCAAATCTACCTGAAACTCCTTCTGTTCTGAACTCCTTTTATGTCAAGTATTCTTACTCTATAGTAATGTTTTATTCCACAATTATTCCAACTGTCTTTTTCTCAACCAAAATGAAAATTTGGGATTAGGACTACACTTGATTTTCCTTTTGCAGCCCTCACAAGAGTACCAGGTTGATAGACCTCTAATATAACTTCGATTTTCATCACTTAGAACCCCAAATGTTTGTCTGTTTCTTACATATTCTGGGCAGCCTATCCTTTCCAAATTCATTTCTCCTCTATTAATATTTTTGGGAGTTCCCTTTGATTAAAAAGGAATTTAATGTTTTAGGAACCAGTAACATTCAAAGATGTGATTGTGGAATTCAGCGAGGAAGAGTGGGGACAACTGGACCCTGCTGTAAAGAACGTGTACAGGGATGTGATGCTGGAGAACTATAAGAACCTGAATTCATTGCATCAAGGTGGCTTCTGTGTATTTCCCCCATCTGCCCATCAGTAGTCTCTTCATCTGCTGCTAAAAACTATAGGACTACTGTGGTGGTTAAGGGCACTTGGGTTTGGGTTCAGGTTTCCTAATATCCTTTGGGCACAATAGCAGATTTTCCTGCTGTATCTGAGGGGAAGTCCTTTCTGTGGAAGAGCTAGAAATACCCAGGTCTGTGGTGACCCCTGGCCTTATATTTCAGCAGCTCTTTGACTACTACATAAGGATGGAATCTTTTCCCTGTAAAAATATCTGAAGTGTCTGCCTGTTGTTGTTTTTTCATTTTCCCCATGAATAGAACCTCTACTTTCCAAACCAGCTGAGATTTCCAACTTGGAGAGTAAGGAAAGAAGATGGATAATGGAGCAAGAAATCCCAAGCACATCTGTTTTTGGTAAGAACCAGGCAGATACGAGGCATTTGTAAGAAGCTTCTCTTTGTTAAACACACTGTGTACTGTTAACAGCTTTTAAGAGTTGAGGAGGTAACAGCAAGACTGCTGAAGCTTTGAAGGAAAAAAAGTCATCATTCCTTCTCGTTCACAGATTCTTTTTCTTAAGTAGGGAGGCAAAAGAATGTTGTAGGTGAGGATCATAGAGACTAAACTTAAAGCTGTGTGCCCTGGAGCAACTTATCTGCCAGTTTCCTCATCTATAGCATCGAATTAGTAACAGTATTTTCTTCCACATTCCTGTGAAAATTAAGTGAGTTTACATGGGTAGCACACTTAGAACAGTGCTTAGCACATAGTAAGCGCTATGTAAACAAACTAGCCAACGTAATATTAAATCATATTCTTTTAAAGAAAATGAAAAGCTCTGCTTTATACTAGAGTGACTTTAGTAATTTTCCGTTTTTCCTTTTTGTTTACCATAGAACTTCTTGTGCCCTCTCTTTCTACCTTCATTGTAATCTTTCTTTTTTTTTTTTTTCTAAGATTTTATTTATTTGACAGAGGGATAGATAGAGCCAGAGAGCACAAGAGGGGGTGGGGAGGTGGGAGGGAGAATGGCAGGAGACGCCTCCCCACCAAGCAGGGAGCCCAATGTGGAGCTCGATCCCAGAACCCTGAGATCATGACCTGAGCTGAAGGCAGACACTTAACCAACATAGCCACCCAGACACCCCATAATCTCTTTATTCTTATTAACATTTTGTTTGTGGGAGATTATCAATTATTGTGTGCTTAATATAAATTTTAATACATATAGAAAAATATGAAGAGGAATAGAACTCACCACATAATCTCACTACCCAGAGCTATGCAGTACTAACATTTTTTTTTTCAGTACTAACATTTTGATATATTTTCTTAGGCTTTTTTTGTGTGTGTGTGATGATGTATCTGTGGCTTGTGAAAATTTGTTATTTTTCCAAAATTGAGTTTGTCAGGGATATGTCATTTTATATATGTCAGTCTTCTCACCTTATATAATACGATGGGCAATTACCTGGGTCACTTTAGTCTATGGAAATGTGGTTTCTAATTCACATGTAATGTTCCATCATATACATGTATCATAATATATTTGACCATTCCCCACCCCCAGCTGTTGGACATTCAGGTTTTTTTTTCTTTTAAGATTTTATTTATTTAAAAAAATATATTTTATTTATTTATTCATGAGAGAGACAGAGAGTGAGAGGCGGAGACATAGGCAGAGGGAGAAGCAGGCTCCATGCAGGGAGCCCAATGTGGGATTCGATCCCGAGACTCCAGGATCACACCCTGAACCAAAGGCAGACACTCAACCACTGAGCCACCCAGGCGTCCCAAGGACATTCAGGTTGTTGCCAAGTTTTCAGGCATATCTGGCAATAGAATATACCTTATTAGAAGAGAAACTTCAGCATCAAAGGGCATGAATATATTTAACAGTCTTGTTACTTTGTGCTGTATTGTCTACAGAAAGGTTATACCAGTTTATAGGTCACTAATAATGTATTATCTATTTATTATCACCCTAGAACCATATTGTTTACCTGAAATCTTTGATTTGATAGGCAAATTATTTAATTTCTTCCTTTCTAAGGTAAATTCCCACCCTCTTCCAGTGGACCCCATGCCTTTTTTCCCCTGCCTTTTTTCACTTAAGATTTTACCATTTCTGCCTCATCCTCCCATTAGCTTTTTAACATTTTCAGGTCATTAAGGATTTAACATTTTTTTTCTCTCAACCTATTACTCTATCTCCCACCTCTTTATTGCCAAACTTCTCAAGATATATTATACTTGTCTCATTTCCTCAGCATTTATCCCTCGCCCCATTCCAGTTTAACTCTTATTTATTTATTTATTTATTTATTTATTTATTTATTTATTTATTTATTTATTTATGATAGTCACAGAGAGAGAGAGAGAGGCAGAGACACAGGCAGAGGGAGAAGCAGGCTCCATGCACTGGGAGCCTGATGTGGGATTCGATCCCGGGTCTCCAGGATCGCGCCCTGGGCCAAAGGCAGGCGCCAAACCGCTGCGCCACCCAGGGATCCCCCAGTTTAACTCTTATTCCAGATCTCCATCTGAAACAGTCCTTCCTAAGATCATAGATGACTTTCTTATAGCTAACTCTAGTGGATATTTTTTCATTCCTTGTCCCACTGACTTCTCCACAGCAAGTGCCTCTATTACCTGCTCCTCACTTTTAAAACACTTGTAGGTTCCTGTAAAACTTCCAATTTTCCTCCTCTCTTTCTGACCCTTCTCTCTGTTGGAGACTTGCTCTCTCTAGCTCTAATTTCAGAGTTTCTTAACATTTGGTCTCATTTTGTCTTCTTTTATTACTCTGTGTTTTCTTCTCTAAGTTATATCCACAACTGCAACTTCACTTACTACACACAAGTGTAGGTGAGTTTACAAGTTTGTGTCCCCAATCTAGGCTTCTTCTCAGAATTGAAAAATTTAGAGATATGTGACATTTCTCTTGGATGTCTGAAAGATGACCAGTTCTATAAAACCAAAGTCATAACTTTTTCCTTTTCAGTCCTCCTTCATTGTTCCTCAGTGAATGGCACTGCTGTCCATCCAGTTATAGAGTGTAGTGTATTATCCTTGACACTTCTTCTTCATCTCTCTAATACTTGGTATTATTTTATCTTTCTCAATATCCCCTGAATGTCTGCACTTCTCTCTGTAGTCCATGTACCGTCATCATCTCTCCTCTACACTATCCCCACAATCTTTTAATTCATCATACTGCATGATCTTGCCATGTCTCTTTGCTTTTTCCCCCAGCTCCAGTGTTTGACCCACATTGCAATCAAAGAGATTGAATTCTGTCCTGTACTTGCTTAAATCATTATGTTGACTGCAGTTTTGCTTTTCCCTACCTAGTCCCTACCTGCTTCTCCAACCTTGCCTTACACTGCATCCTCCCCTCACTCTTTACACCCAAACCACACTGCTCTTGTAGTCATCACCCTATAAATATTAGCATCTATTGTGTCCTAAGCACTCTGATGGGTGAAGAAAGACTGCAGAGAAAAGAGTTCCATAGGATACACATTCCAGATGACCCTTGAGTGCAGCTGGCCCTCCAACTCAGGGCCTCTGTACATGCAGCTTCCTTACATAAAGTGCTCGTTCTCATTCTTTGCCTAGTTGACTCTTCATCTTCCTTCAGATCTCAGTTTCACATTTCCTCAGGAAAACCTGTCTTGAATAGTTTCTTCTGTTATATACTTCCATAGGATCATAATTTTCTCTTTTTAGCACGTATCACAGTTATATTTTACTCGTATCTGTATAGGTCTTTGTCTTCCACATTAGGCTTTATGTTCCTTGAAGGTAAGGACCATGTGTCTTTTTGCCCTACCTTTATTTCTCAAGTTTTTGCACATTTATAGGAACCAAGGAAAAAAATGGTTAGATAAATATTGGATTATGAGAAAGGTAAAAATTATTTGTTTTGGTCATTTGTGATTAGTAAATGATTTTAGGTCCTTTATCTATTAAGACCTTAGAAATTTTTAAGTAAGATCTTATGTAAATTCCCACTGTTGATCACAGTTATGGCAAATTAAATATCACTGAAGTTTATTTTATTGTGTCTGCTGTACATATTTTTTAAATTTATGTTATCATTATGTCTATCTTATACCCAGTGCTTTATATCTGTTATTTTTAGGCATAAGAATTTTTCCATCCCCAAATTAGAAACCTATTTCCTAATTTCTTTCTGATTCCATCTATTTCATCATTTAAATATACTTCAGTCAGTCAATCCGGAATTTACCTTGGTAAATGTAATTTATTTTCTGAAAGGGTTAATGGATTACAGTGGATTAAAGGTGGCTACAGAATCTTCATCTCTCTCTCCATCAAGATGTAGACTTGATACATCTGAAACTAATGTAACATTGTGTGTTAACTATACTTCAGTTAGGAAAAAAAAATATGCAGACTATGTTTCCCCTCCATTTGAATCTCAGCTAGCACTAGACTGTGTTTAATCAATAAAATGCAGCAGAAGTGACACTGCCATTTCCAGGTCTAGCATGTAGACTTGAACCTGCCACTTCTTTGTCTTAGAAATTAGCAGCCACTACTTCAACTAGCTTGACATCACTCTGTTTGGGAGAAGCCCAATGTAGCTACATGGAATGTACAAACATATATATACACACATGTGCACATATATATACTTTAAAGGCTCCTCAGATAATCAGAGGCAAATCTAGATTTAAGTGCTAATGATCCAAGTTTTTTTTTTTTAATTTTTTAATTTATTTATGAGAATAAATAAAGAGAGAGAGAGAGAGAGAGAGGCAGAGACACAGGCAGAGGAAGAAGCAGGCTCCATGCACCGGGAGCCCGACATGGGATTCGATCCCGGGTCTCCAGGATCACGCCCTGGGCCAAAGGCAGGCGCTAAACCACTGCGCCACCCAGGGATCCCTGATCCAAGTTTATTATAAACAGTTTAAGGTAAATTTGGACAGAAATATAAAGTCAAATTTTGGACAGCTTAATTAGTCAAAACCTATGAAAAAGAATCCTGTGGATTTTAATCTACTAAACACAGATAAGCCACTGGAATGATTTGAAAACTTAGGGGAAACTTTCAGATAGGCCAAAGAAAGGCAGAGATGGTTTGGCCTAGCAGAGGCTAGTCTCCAGGGGAGTTATGAGCAGACACCCAAGATTGGGATGATAGGCTAAGGTTCAAAGTGTTCATTTTTGTTTCAAGTTAGAGATAGGGACAAAGTCTTGTAGATAAAGCATAGTTTATCAGTTTGGGATTGGCAGGAATAAGACAATGATTCAGAATCTGTTTAGGGCAAAAGGGGAACAAATCATGGGTGTAAAGATAAACTGGTGTTTCCACTAAAATCAGTAGAAAAGAGTGTCTGTTGCTATAATTGTTTAATGTTGACCTGAAAGACATAAATGAAAAAATGAGAAAGTTAGTAGAAAAAAAGGAAAAAAGACCATTATTTGTAAATGATAGCTTTTCTACTTAGAAAATCCAAGAAACTTATTGTCAAAACTGTTATATCTGTTAAGAGCTTTGTTAAGATGGCCAGATATAAAATAAAAATATTGGTAGCTTTCCTATATGTTAGTACTGATTTGAAAATAACAAAATATATGAAAGTGATTTTAAAAGGACTAAAGGAGTTATATGAAAAATGAGTTGTAGAAATATGAGAATATCAGAGATTTACTTAGAGAACACATTTAGGTATTTTCCAATCAGTAAATACTGCTGGAACAGCGTCAGTTTCAGTTACTGATTATTTCTAACAAATTGCCTCAAAACTTACTTTAAACAGCAACCATTTTATTAACTATCACAATTTTGTGAATTGACTTAGGAGTTCTCAGGATTCATATGATGTGGCTGAGAATACAGTGTTCTGCTGGGATGGAATGGTCAAGATGGCTTATCACATGGCTAGCAGTTGACATTGATGTTACTGGGAACTTTTGCCCTGTGGACCATGGCACTTCCATGTGGTCTCTTCTTGAGGCACGGGTTTCTCATAGCGTGCCAACCAGGTTCTGGGAATATCCTGAGAGGAATTGGAAATCGTTAGTCTCCTAAAGGCCAGGCCTGGAAGTGACATGGTATCACTTCTACATTCTTTGGCTAAGCAGTTACAGGAGTAGCCCATTTTCAAGAGAAAGAAAAATAAATTCCACTTCTCTATGAGAGAGTGTATCTATTTCTTTTTATTACTCTAGTATAATTAATATGTGGTGTTATTAGTTTCAGGTGTACAATATGATAATTCAACAATTCTATACATTATTCAGTGTTCATCATCCTAAGTGTACTGTTAAGCCTCTTCACCCATTTCACCCAATGCCCTCACCTCCCCTCTGACAAGTGCCAGTTTGTTCATTGTATTTAAGACTCTGGTTTTTTGTTTGTCTTTTTTCCTTTGTTTTTTTTTTTTTCTTAAATTCCTCTTACGAGTGAAATCTTAAGGTATTTGTCTTTGGCTTATTTTACTTACCATGATCCCCTTTAGATCCATTCATGTTGTTGCAAATGGTGAGATTTCATTATTTTTTATGACTTAGTAAGTAGTGTATTCCATCATATGTGTATGTATGGATGTATATATATGTATACATGTCTGTATATATAGACATGTATACACGTGTGTGGGTATATGTATGCGTATATACGTGTGTTTATGTATGTGTGTATACACACACACACACACACACCACATTGCCTTTATTCAGTCCTCTATAGATGAACATTTTGGTTGCCTCTATATTTTGGCTATTATAAATAATTCTGCATAAGCATAAGGGTATATATATTTTTTTGAATTAGTGTTTTCCTTTTCTTTGGCTAAATATCCAGTAGAGGAATTACTAGATCATATAGGATTTCTATTTTTAATTTTTTGAGGAAACCCCATGCTGTTTTCTATAGTGGCTATACCAGCTGGCATTCCTGTAACAGTGCACAAGGGTTCCTTTTTCTCCACATCCTTGCCAGCACTTATTTTTTGTGTTTCTGATTTTAGCCATTTTGACCAGTGTGAGGTGATATCTCATTGTGGTTTTGATTTACATTTCTCTGATGATGTGTGATGTTGAACATCTTTTCATGTGTCTGTTAGCCATCTAATGTCTGCTTTGGAAAAATATCTATTCAGGTCCTCTGTGCATTTTAGAATTGGATTGTTATTGGGGTTTTTTTTTCATGTTGAGTTGTATAAGTTCTTTATATACTTTGGATTCTAACCCTTTATTGGATATGTGATTTGAAAATACCTTCTCAGGGCATCTGGCTAGCTCAGTTGGTTAAGTGTCTGCCTTCAGCTCAGGTCATGATCCTGGGATCAACTCCCATCTTGGGCTTCCCTGCTCACTGCATCGTCAACTTCTCCCTCTACACTTCACCTTTGCTCATGCTCTCACTCTCTCTCTCTCAAATAGATAAAATCTTTAAAAAATTTTTAAAAATCAAAATAGCTTCTCCCATTCAGTAGGTTGTCCTTAATTTTGTTGATGGTTTCCTTCACTGTACAAAATATTTTTTACTTTGGTGTAGTGTCAATAGTTTATTTTTGCTTTTGTTTTCCTTGCCAAAGGACACATATCTGGAAAAATGGTGCTATGACCAATGACAGAGAAACTACTGCCTATGTTTTCTTTTAGGAATTCTTTGGTTTCAGGTCTCACATTTTTGTCTTTAATTCATTTTTAGTTAAATTTTGTATATAGTGTTAGAAAGGGGTCCAGTTTCATTCTTTTTCGTGTAGCTGTCCAGTTTTCCCATCACCATTTGTTGAAGAGACCATCTTTTTCCCATTGTGTATTCTTGCCTCCTTTGTCTTAGATCAATTATCATAAAACTGTGGGTTTATTTCTGGCTCTCTATTTTGTTCTGTTAGTCTATGTGTCTATTTTTTTATGCCAGTACCATTGTTTTAATTACTACAGTTTTGCATAGTATGTCTTGATACCTTCTGGTTTGTTCTTCTTTTTCAAGATTGGTTGGCTATTTGGGGTCTTTTGTGGTTCTGTACAAATTTTACTATTCTTTGCTCTAGTTCTGTGAAAATTGCTATTGGTATTTTTATAGGGGTTGCATTAAATCTGTAAATTGCTTTGGGTAGTATGGACATTTTAACATACTGGCTCTCCCAATCCATGAACGTGGGATATCCTTCCATTTCTTAGTGTTATTAGCTTCAAGTCATTTTTCAGTACCGTTTTATGTTTTCAGAGTGTAGGTGTTTGACTCTTGATTAAATTTATTCCTGTATTTTTTATTCTTTTCTATTTTTGATTTAAATTCAGTTTAATTAACATCTACTGTATTATTAGTTTCAGCAGAAGAATTTAGTGATTCATCAGTTGCATACAACACCCAGTGCTCATTACTTCAAGTGCCCTTCTTAATGCCCATCACCCAGTTACTCCATCCCTCCACTCACTTCCCCTATATATTTAGTTCTTTTCGGTGCAATTGTAAACAGGACTGTTTGCTTCCTTCCTCCATTCCTTTCCCTCTCCTCCCTTCCCCACTCCTCCCATTTGGTTTATTTTCTTAATTTCTCTTTCTGCTACTTCATTTTAAGATTGCAACAGATTTCTGTAATATTAATTTTGTATCCTGCAGCTGTACTAAATTATTAGTTCTGGTAGTTTTTTGTTTGAGTCTTTATGGTTTTTTATATATAGCATCATGTCATCTGCAAATAGAGTTTTACTTCATATTTACCAATATGAATGCCTCTTATTTCTTATTCTTCTCTGATTGCTGTGGCTAGGACTTTCAGTACTATGTTGAATGAAAGTGGTGAGAGTGGACATCCTTGTCTTGATCTTAGAGGAAGAGCTCTGTTTTTCCCCCTTAGAGTGCAATGTTAACTGTGGGTTTTTATGAATGTGCAACCATTTTGATCTACTTGGTCTGTCTCTGGACACAAATAATTATTTTCCTCTCCCTTGTTAAATACACTTACTCTCTCCTAAGAGACGTCATCTCATTATGGATCAAGCTTGAAGTCCAGGATCTCACCACCTAAATTAGGTACAGGTTTAGAAGAGGTTTCTCTCTCACTGAAGATCTATGAATTAAAATATAGATTATCTGCCCACATACCCAGTATACACTTAAGAGGCAGAAACAGGGCAGCCCTGGTGGCACAGCGGTTTGGCGCGGCTTGCAGCCTGGGGTGTGATCCTGGAGACCCGGGATCGGGTCCCGCATCGGGCTCCCTGCATGGAGACTGCTTCTCCCTCTGTCTGTGTCTCTGCCTCTCTTTCTGTGTCTATGAATAAATAAATAAAATCTTAAAAAAAAAAAAAAGAGGCAGAAACAGGGAAACTATAGTCAGTACTCTCATTATATTCCTAGACTCTGCCCTAGGAGATTGTTTTAATCCTCCAGTTTCTGGTGCATTATACAGACAATTTCTGCTAGAAATTAGGCTAAATCAGGGTGAATTAATAAGTATTTGACAAAATTGGATGTATCAGTGGGCTGCTTTGAGGTAAAAGTCATTTCATAAAATAATAGTACCTCAGGGCAGATTAGATACAAGAAATAAAGAGCAATGAGTATGCAAGAAATCTTTGCAGACACTAGTATAAATATTAGAAGAACAATGACTCACCAAACAAGTAAGGACATTGAGGGAGGTTCTTTCCACATTAAAGATGAAAATTCTCAGGCTCGTTTATTGAGTTGGAAGACAGTAGTAGGATAGCCAAGTGGCATTGTCTTGGAGACAGATTTAAAAAAAAAAAAAGTGGATAATATATGTGAGACTAGAAAGCTGAAGATGTGTTTTGGCTAGCAATAAAATGTGGAAGTAAAAGCATTAGATAAAGCTGAAGTTAGGTGCAGAAGGATAAAGGGAAGTCAGTGAAATTTAATTATTAAAAAATTGCTAAAAAATACAGTATATTGGACATATTTATACAGAAGCTAAATGAGAAAGGGATTTTGATGGGAAGCCTAGGTGGCTCAGTGGTTGAGCATCTGCCTTTGGCTCAGGGTGTGATCCCAGGATCCAGGAGCGAGTCCCATATCAGGCTTCTTGTAGGAAGCCTGCTTCTCCCTCTGCCTGTGTCTCTGCCTCTCTCTCTGTGTGTCTCTCATGAATAAATAAATTAAATAAATTTTTTAAAAAAGTAAAAAGTAAAGTTAGGTATAGCCCACACAGACTATTTATGAACCAGTAATAATTTTTTTTTTTTTTTTTTTTTTTTTTTTTTTTTATTTATGACAGTCACAGAGAGAGAGAGAGGCAGAGACACAGGCAGAGGGAGAAGCAGGCTCCATGCACCGGGAACCTGACGTGGGATTCGATCCCGGGTCTCCAGGATCGCGCCCTGGGCCAAAGACCGGCGCTAAACCACTGCGCCACCCAGGGATCCCCGAACCAGTAATAATTTGAACTGTAATAGGTCACCCCATCCCAGTTAATATGCCGGTATTTTACCAAGCCCTATGTATTCTCTCTAATATTCCTAAATAGCTGTCCTCATATTTTATGATCTCCTGACCTCCTTTTTTTTTAATATTTTTATAATTTTTTTAATTTATTTATGATAGAGAGAGAGAGGGGCAGAGACACAGGCAGAGGGAGAAGCAGGCTCCATGCACTGGGAGCCCGATGTGGGATTCGATCCTGGGTCTCCAGGATCGCGCCCTGGGCCAAAGGCAGGCATCAAACCGCCGCGCCACCCAGGGATCCCTCCTGACCTCCTTTTTAATACTGTTTCCCTTTTATTTTTTCTATAATTCCCCTTTTCTAATTTCACCTCACATTTCCATTCTGTATTTAAGACCTATAAAATATGCATATTCCCTTGTGTGGTTTAGCATTCCTTTCCTAATTAAACACTTGCCTTTCTTCTATTTCATGGAATTTTTTATTTCTTTTTATAGACAGAGAGGTAATTTCAGAAAACCAAGATTCAGTTCCAATGCAGAGCATTTCTGGAAAAGTTTCATCTCCTGGCGTGATTATGACAAGACTGACCAAAAGTGGATCCCCTTCTTTAGATGCTTGGGTGAGCGATGATTGGCTATATAGGAAACAGGAACACTGGGACATAAATTTGTCAGAAGCTTTTGTTCATAAGACAGTCTGCTCTGAGGTGGGAAACTTTGAAAGTAGAGAGAATAAGAAAAGCTTAGATGTTAAGTCAGTTAATTCAATTTTGGGTATACAACAAGGAATTCCTATAAGAAAGGGGTCCTCAAAATGTGATAAGTTTAAAACTAACTTCAAGTTTAATATAGACTCAGGTAAGCAATATTCAAAATATGATGAATGTGGGAATGCCTTGAGCCTGGGTATAGGTGTTCAGTACCCAGAAGGTCATACCTTAGTGCATTCCTATGAATGCTATCAATGTGGAAGAGCCTTCAGCCGGAGTTCATCCCTCATTCGACATCAGATCATTCACACAGGAGAGAAACCCTATAAATGCAGTGAATGTGGGAGATTGTTCAACAGACGTACAAACCTTACTAAGCATCAAAAAATTCATACTGAAGCAAAGGTCTGTGAAGGCAATACCTGTAGAAAAGCTGTCAGTGAGAGTGAAGACCGTAATAAAAATTCAAGACTTCAGTCTGGAGATAATCCCTATGAATGTAAAAGCTGTGGAAAATCCTTCAGCCGAAGCTCATCGCTTATTCGACATCAAATGATTCATACAGGAGAGAAACCATTCAAATGTCAGGAATGTGAGAAAACCTTCAACAGGAATTCAAACCTTAAAAAACACCAAAAACTTCATACTCAAGAGAAGTCCTCTAACAGGAAGCAACAAAGGATTACTTACCTACATCAATGAATTTATACTGGAAGGAATCCAGTGAATAGAGTAAATGCAAGAAAACATTTGTCAGGGATTATTCTTTAATTGATATGACGGAATTAATATTGGAGAGAAATCTGTTATTGGATAGGAATCTGAGGTGGTTTCCAGGCTCTCAAATGAAGCCAGAAGGGTTTGGAGTTAAATGTATCACCATACAAGTCTGCCTATCATTATTCTGTTATCTGTTGCCATCATTCCTGGTTCATAAATGGGAACTATGGCATCCTATATTCACATGATTTATTGAAGTAGGTATTAGTGAGGAGCCAAGCAAAACCCTTGGAGTTGGATATTTTAATAAAACTCAAACTTTCAGTCCTTCTAAGAAGGTCATAAGAAACCAGGAGCCCAGAAGAATACAGAAAGACTATACTTCTAAGGACTGAACTCTCTGAATTAATAGAGATGACAGCCATGGCAAATTACTCCATCCCTGATAGTATTCTTCACTGTCCTGGTGCTGAGTGGGGACTAGAATTGGAGGAGAGTTATCAACTGCAGTGGGAGGTGGGTTAACAAATCTATAGGTAGTCTTCATATCTGCATTTTTAAAAGTACTCTTTGGGATCTAGGCTGGAGAGAGATCCATAGCTTCAGGTTTATCATTTATACCAAATATTAAGAGGTCAATAAAATGTCTTAATACTCGATGCTCTAGAACTTCCTTTTCCTTCTGTAAGTTACTTCAGGATCCCTTTGGGATCCTGAGACAAAGGTTATCCTGAGACAAGCTTATCTTTAATCTGCCCCAAAATACTTCTATAGGAGACATTTCCAATGAATTATGATTGGGGCTTTTTGTTAAAGCTCATCTTATTCAAAAACCAAAAAGGTATACTGGAGTGTGAACACTTATGAGTTAATGTAGAAAATTATTCTGTATTCATTTGTTTTATGGTTTCAGTTTTTTTTTTTTTTTTTTGGTTTCAGGTCTTTAATCCATTTTTTATTTAATTTTTTAAAAAAGATTTTATTTATTCATGAGAGACACAGAGAGAGGCAAAGACACAGGCAGAGGGAGAAGCAGGCTCCATGCAGGGAGCCCAATGTGGGACTTGATCCCAGAACCCCGGGACCACAGCCTGAGCCGAAAGCAGATGCTCAACTGCCAAGCCACCCAGGCATCCCTTTATTTAATTTCTGTATATGGTATAAGAGTCCTCTACTTTTGTCTTTTTTTTTTTTTTTTTTTTTTTGCATGTGGCTGTCCACTTCCTCCCTACTCTGAGAGCCTACAGAAGACAAATATAGGACTCTTCTTTCAGCTTTTACAGTGAACATGTTTCTGGCACCATGTACCTGCTGTATGATCTGAGCTAGTCATCCAGCTCTTTACTGGGCATTGATGCTTACCAGAAATCCTTCTCCTTCCCCAGACAGCAGTCTTTTCCATTTCCCAAACACTATTTAGACACAATTTCTAAATGAATTATGCAGAATTATGCCTTCTTACTCTCCTCACCTTCATAAATCACCACACCCAGCTCTCAGAAGATCAGCGTCCATCAGAGAAGTTGCATACTGCCAGACCAAAACTATCTCCAGATCCTGCCATCAAATCTTCAGAGTGCATTTCTCCTCTGTAACAATGGAAGAACTATCCTTTCATACCATGGTGCTCTGCATCTTTCCCTTTTCACTTTCTTAGAGAAATCACTCCCTTATACTATATGTTGGCAAATTGAATTTAAATTAAAAGGAAAAAAAGGAATAAATTATTTTTAATATGCAAAAAAATCCCCACTCCCATCAATCACCTCTTTTATATCTTTATTTTTTTAAGATTTATTCATTCATTCATTCATTCATGATAGACCTAAAGAGAGAGAGAGGCAGAGACACAGGCCGAGGGAGAAGCAGGCTCCATGCCAGGAGCCTGACGCGGGACTCGATCCTGGGACTCCAGGATCGCGCCCTGGGCCAAAGGCAGACGCCAAACCACTGAGCCACCCAGGGATCCCCCCCGCCTTTTATATCTTTAAATTCACCTTCTATACTTGGCATCTTCTCATCAGCATTTAAAAGGTCACATCTACCTTGAAAAACTAGGAAAGGAACATAGCAAAACAAAAACCTCTCTGCTCTACTACCCATAGTAATTATACTTCTCTTTCATCTCCATGCCAGCCACACTTCCGGAAAGTGTTGTCCATACTGGCTCACTGCCCACTCCTCAACAACCTGCAATCTGATCATAATCCTCATCGCTCTAATGAAAGAGTGCTCAACAAAGTAACCAACTGCTTCTTTTTTGGAACCTAACATACTTTTCAGCCTTTATCTTCCTTCACCTTTATCTCCCTGTGGTGTTTGACTCTATCAGTGGCTCCCTTTTTCTTGAGGTATCTTTTTCCCTTGTTTTTTATATACTATAGTACAGTATACTGTATTGTATACAAGATACTACAGTATCCTGATTTTCCTTTTAAATCTTTGACAGCAGTTCCTCCTGAGTCAGAGATCTGACTATCTCTCCATGTGATGTTTCTCCTCACTGTTCTAGTCTTCAGTTACTGAAGTAACTTAAGTTACTATCTCTGCATGGATGACCTCAAGCTAAAATATCTTCCCCAAGCTCCAGACCTATAAGACATCTCCATATGGATAGCTCATGAGCCGTTCAGCCTCAGTGCAGGGAATGGTCCAGTTGTCTAATCTCAAAAACCTGCCCCTTCTCTCTGTGCCTGTATGCCATATCCCATGAATTATTAAGGCACTCTGCTAGTTGTTATCCATTATCATTATTCATCCCATTTTCACTGTCAATAGAATTTTAGCCACCCAACTCTAAATTTCCCTCTGTTAGTACTGGCCAATGGGATGTGAACAGAAGTGATGTATGTCACTTCCAGGTCTTCAAGAAGCTAGGTATTATCCTACTCTCCTGACACCTTTTCCTCTCCCTGCTGGCTGGGAAACCATGAAAACCGTAGTAACTGTAGTGGACTACAAATGGAAGCCAGTATTGGGAATGGGATCCTGGACCACCCATCTACCTCCATACTGGTAGAAATAAACTTGTCACATATAAGCTCCTGGTTTTGCTGTGTTTTGTTTTTCTTTTGTATCACAGGTTGCCCTGTACCTTAGTTAATATACTCACCAGATCTTTTAGACTCTTCCTTGTATCTGCATATATCCCTCCTGATAATATATTTATATTTCTGGTTATTGTCCTCTCTCCTACCTTACTTCAACTAGTGTCTCTGCCTTAAATTTTGTAAAATGCAGGCAGAGGATCTTTTATGAAATACAAGTTTTGATTATTGCACACAAACGCTTAAACCTTTCAAAGACTCCCTGCCAACAAAAGTTGACCTAAAAAGGTGAAATCTAAACTCTGAAATGACTCATTTGCCTTTCATGTTCTAATGTTCTCTTGCCCTACACCCTTTGGACTCCATGTATCAGCCATGCAACAGCTTCCAGTTTCCCATCCACTGTGTATGCTTAGCAGTGTGGTTTTCCATATATTTCCTGTTCTTGGAGACCTCTTCCTTCTCTTCATCTAGCTAATTTTCATTCCTTCAAGCTCAGCTGAAGAGATTTCTTCCCCTAGAAAGCCACCTCTGACAACCCAAGACTATCTACTAAATTCCACATACTTACATGTGTATAGCACCTATAGGAATCTTATTACAATTATTTATTGGACTGTATCCTGTATTTAGTATGGCTTGGGGCGGGGGGACAAGTATTCTGTAAAAAGTATCATACTGACAGGCAACAAATAATATTGAATGTGAGTGAGAAGGAAAGAGACCTACCACTTATTTTTTACATCTCATTGTTAAAACTATGTAACCAAAGACATTTTTAAAGATCCGTAACTGTCATAGACCGTAACTATGTACCGGTCTAGCGAGTGCGGGAAATAAGGTGACAGAATTTTCCTTTACATCTTCTAAGGCAAGACGGTAACAGCTCAGTGGGTTTGGCTTATGAATGAAAATGTGTAAGAGGGACCTGCGGGAGAAGAGCGCAAGGACGGTCCCTTTTGCAGTTTCGCGAGGTTACTTCTCGAGGCCCCACCGCCCTGAGGGATTAGATGGATTCCAAATCCCTCCCATCATTTCCAGAATAAAGTCGCCTGGCTCGGCCCTGGTGGTCTGAGCTCACCGTCGGCAGTCCCAAGAGCTGCAGGAAGCTCCAGAGGAGCCCTGCGAGGTCTGCAGTCCGGGCGTCAGCCTGTCAACAAAAACAAGAAATCCCGCCTAAATCTCTGCTTGCCTGGGAGCGCCTCCGGTGTCCCAGGGCAGGGCAGGCCGGAAGGCTCCGCAGCCCAGCCCAGCCCAGCTCCCCCGCCCGGCTCGACCCCACCACCGCGGGCCTCTCCCTCGGCGGCGGCTCAGGGGTCTATCCCGGCCGGAAGGCGCCGCCCACGTGGGGCCGGGGCGGGGCAGGGGGACCGGAAGTGGGGCGGCGCGGAGCCTGCGTGGTGGCCTGCGGCCGCGTCCGTCCTTGTGCGCAAGCGCGGTGGGGGTCAGCCGGCGGCGGGGCGGTCCGCCTGTACCTGCGCGGCCGCCTCGCGGTGCTGGACTTGACAAGCATTCCCAGGAAAACCGGGTAACCGCTCTGACTTTTGGGCTTCTCTTCTCTTGCACTTGCTACTGGAGGTGTACCGCGACCTCCCGTCCCCGGGGCCGTGAAAGCCGGTTCCATTTGGTGTCCGAAGACCTCGCGGTTTCCGGCTGGGCGGCTCCGCTTGCGGTGGTCGCGGTCCTCGCGAGCCTTTTGGAGCCGTGATCGCTCTGGACTCCAGCGTGCCGCTTGCCAGGACCTTCCCTGGATTGCGACACTAACATGACGTTGAACCGTTAAGATTTTGCAGAATGAGTGTGCCGTGAAGACGAGCACTTTCCTATGTGTGATGCGCTATTCTAGAGTTCATGAGGGGACTTAAGACTTGTTGATCCAACCTCTAGTAATTTACAGTTCACGGTGCTTAGTCAAATGATTATCCCAGTGCCATGCAGCCAGTAAAAGACCCTCGGTAACACGCAGAGTCCTTCAGATCTCTCAGCCATTGTGCCTTTTCACTGTTCACCAGGAGAACTTTTTCCAAAAAAGAAAAAAAAAGTTAAGATTCGAATTCATTTGGCAATTTTAATGTTTAGTGAAAGACACCTGTACACGTGACTCATAGCGGTGTTACAAATTCTAGAATCTGTGAAGATGAACAAAAACAGAAGATCGTGGATCTCACAAGCCTGCGTAAGCCTAGTACAATATTTAGTAGGTGTCGTTTGGTAGGCATTTCTGGCACATCTGCCTGACTCTGACGGTTGGCCTGGCGACAGTCTGCATTACTCCTAGTTCACATTGGCCCAATGATTGTGACCTTTGGCATTAGGTAGAAATATGACTTATTTTCATAGTAACTGATGTGAGCTCAGGCAGCCTAGCTCTTAATTAATCACCAGGCTATACTTACTCCTGAGACTCCGTATTTTGCTCAGTCTGCTTGAAACACCCAACTCCAGGGCACCTGGGTGGCTCAGTGCTTGAGTGTCTGCCTTCAGCTCAGATGATCCCTGGAGTCCTCGGATCGAGTCCTGCATCAGACTCCCTGCAGGAAGCTTGGCTTCACCCTCTGCCCCCCACCCCCCCCCCTCTCTCTCACTCTTTCTCTCCCCCCACCCCGTGTGTCTCTCATGAATAAAAGTCTTTTTTTAAAAAAAGAAATACCCAACTCCCTTTTTCTGCCTTCCTCAACTCCTGGCCCCAGTTTATAACTGAATAAAATTTCAGTTTATTCGGGCTGAGATTAGAATCACCCCCTAACTCCTACCCAAGGTTGGGCATGATTTAGTCTTATGGCACAATTTGAGCTTTATATTATCCAGATGAAAAAAAACTAGGAATAGCTCAAACTCCAAAATGAAATCATTAATCTAGATAATTTCACTCTTCCTAAAACACCATTGTGCTCAACTGCAAGTTTTTACAAGCAATTCCTATTTCTAAACTTTTTTGGCCACCACTAATATGCTATCCAAAGCCCAATTTTAAAACTGCCCTCTGATAATCATCATACTGAGACTCTATCCAAAATTTATTTCTCTCACTTCCCCTGTTAACACTATGTTAACACTTTATCTCTTAAAGGCATTACTGCAGTACCTTCCAAGTGGAATCCTGGCTTTGCCTCTAGCCTCTACCTTGGGTCAATTCTCACAGCCTTCAGAGGGACCTTGTTAAAATTTAAAGTTAAATCTGTTCCTTAAAACCCTCCAATGGCTTTTCATACTATCTCTCACCTTATTTTTTTAGTGAGTATATTTTCCAAATTTATACTGGTGAGCACTCAAAGAAACAATTAAAAAAACTACCTCCTACTGTCAAAACTCATTGATACCACCTAGTGGTGTGCTAAATGGTCTTGGACCTCCATTCTTCCTCATTCTCTTCCCTCACTCTACAATATATCCAATCTCCTCACTGTTGTTAAAGCCATCTTTTTTTTCAAAATGGCAGTATCACACTCTTCATGTTTCTTCACGACCAACAGAATTTTTTTAGTTAGACACAGGAAGTCCTTCATGATCTGGCCATCCTTTAACCTCTCCTTTCACTGACACTTTCTACACCAACAGTGTCAGGGTACTTGTAGCTGGCTGTTTACATCATTTAATTTCATTATTTAATTTCTTTTTTTTTAAGATTTTATTTATTCGTGAGACACACAGAAGGAGAGAGAGAGAGGCAGAGACACAGGCTGAAGCAGGCTCCTTGCAGGAAACCTGATGCAGTACTCAATCCTGGGACTCTGGGATCATGCCCTGAGCCAAAGGCAGACGCTCAACCACTGAGCCACCCAGGCGTCCCACTATTATTTAATTCTTTGTACAAATTACACTCTGTGACCTGTATTTCAGTAATTGAACATAGAAAATTATAAAAGTTGACAAGAATAATCGAAAACTTCAGACATGACATTTATGGCAGTTAAATACATGATATAAAAATGAAAAGTCCAAATCCCTGATATAGAGATAAGCATTATGGTACAGTAACACAATGGAATATTAACCATTAACATTTTAAATAAGTTGTATGTAAAAATGTGATTTTATTTTTTATGAAAATAAAGCACTAATAAAAATATAAAAAATACAGAAAAGTATGAATAACATAAAGATAGCCACAATCCAGTCTATCAAATAGATCCACTAACATTTTTGTGTGTATATATTTATATATATATATCCGATTTTTCCCCATGAGACTATCTATATAAATATATAAATAGAATCTTACCCCATATACAGTTCTTTATCTTGTACTTAACACTGTAGGGTACATTATCATTACAATAGTCTTAGAAAATATAATTTTAAATGACTGCATATTACACATACAGGTGCATCATAATTTATTTGACCTTTCCCCTATTTGGGGGAGGGTAGCACAGCATAAAGAATAACCTCAATAAATATCTTGAATATTTATCTTTGTGGGTCTAATGTAGTTCAGAATGCTTAAACCTGCTGCCACTTTCTGGGGAAACCTTTTGGAACATCAGCCTAAAAGGGCCGTGTTCTATGCCTTATCCTATTCCTGGGCATGTCTGAAGGGACCAGAGTGAACATCTGATACAAAGCTAGCCAATCCAAAGGCTTCCCAGGAGCCTATGGTTTAGCCTGGCTTTAAAGGCTTATGTAGAGGTAGTAATGAAAATTGAGCCAATCATCTTCCCCACTCAGAAATCTGAACAGAGACCCAGAAGGAAGTTACAAGTTAGTGGCAGGCAATAGAATTAAAAAACATATATTCATGGATATGGTGGCAATTACAGACCTGCAAAGTAAGGACCTGCAGAGTAAGTAAGGAGGTCAACAGGTAGAGAGAATAGAGGCTAGTGAAAGAGAAGTTTTTGAAAGAGTGGCTTTGTCTAATGGCTTTCTAGTGCAAGTTCTAAAACATGAATGTTATATAGCTCTTTTTTCAATTACATAACTTTAGCAGGCATCTGTTTTTGGAAATAGAAATGCTCTAAAATGTGTAATCTATTTCCAAAAGATATATGTCTAGACATGAAATCACTGTAGGAAAGAATATCAAGACTTTTGAGGCTTATTAGCCAAATCATAAGTCCAAAATCTATCAATTTACCCTCATTGTAAGTAGTGTGTAAGCATCGATCACTCTCTACTCACTGAAAATAGCTATTATAATTGTTAATGAAAGTGGGATTTCATTGCTTTAATCTGCTGATGTCTTTTGCCAATTTTTAGTAGATATCCAGTCTTCCATTTTAATTTACAAAAGTTCTTACCTGTCATAGCCATGGCAAATATTTTTCCTATTGTCTGATTTCCATGTTTTTACCTACAGTTTAAAAAACCTTATGTGTCCCAAATTCTTAGGTATTTTTTCTGAGTTCTTCCATTTTATCTAATTCTCAAAAAATGCATATGTGTTTTCAACCATATAAAAACCGACTTTGGTGAATTTTAAACATTTACGTTAAAGCAGCACAACCCTTTTTAAAAAAGAAATCTTATGCTAATCTTGAAAAGCAGATAAAAATGGGGTTAAATTTGTACTGTATTTCTAATGCACCAGCCTTCACGAAACAACATGGAAGTTAATGAAATTCTGCCTGAAAACTTTAATCAGTGATTTAATCAGTCTGTATTAAATCAATATATATATATATGATGTGGGTCATGAGATGAAAGCCTAATATTATTTTTCACCAGAGGTAAATCATTTTCTTAGCACCATTTACTGAATAATCCTTCTCCTACTCATGGATCTATATAATATGTAAAGTATATATGCATATATACTAAATTCATATATACATATGTAATCCATATACTGGTCTGTTTCTAAGTGACTTGCTGACTGAGCATTCTTAACATTTTTTTCATATGTATAATGAAGTTCTCCATTTTAGCTTCAATTATATCATCTTATTTTAGGGCAATATCATTAATCTTATAAATTATCTTTGATCTTCTCCAGTGTTTTTCTTATAAGATTTTAGATTTTTTTTAAATTTCAAATCTCATTGGGGTTTTGATGAAATTTCAAATAAATCTATAGATTAACTTAGGAACATTTCCTCTAAAAAATGTATAGATTTTTTTTTAATTTTTATTTATTTATGATAGTCACAGAGAGAGAGAGAGAGAGAGAGAGAGAGACAGAGACATAGGCAGAGGGAGAAGCAGGCTCCATGCACCGGGAGCCCGACGTGGGACTCAATCCAGGGTCTCCAGAATCGCACCCTGGGCCAAAGGCAGGCGCCAAACCGCTGCGCCACCCAGGGATCCCATCCTCTAAAAAATTTATAAGACTTCTTTATGCAAGTCCTTTTTTATTTTCCTCAGATTTTTTCATTATTTTCATTCTACATCTTTATTCTTTTTTAGAAAGAAATTTTAGTGTTATTACAAACTATACTTTTTCCCACCTATTATATTTTGTGATTACAGCAAGAATTCAGGAAACTACTGGTTTATTTTTACTCACCTTATGGGTTTAATTAGTTCATTTTAATTCACTTTTAAAGACGTATTGTAGGTACTCCCTTATGTTTGTCTAATAAACCTTTGCCTAGTCTTTTAGATCAATAAAATTAATCAGTAAGTCAATATTGAACAATCAATCAATTAATAATGGATAGTTACTGACCAGTATCATTTTGCTTTAATTTTTTTCTCTCTTTGGCTAATATAGGGACCAAATATTTGTTTTTATTTTCTCCCTGTTTTGAAAAGTATATGTGCTTCAGTTCTATTAGTTGCAATTTCTAACTTATAAAAATATATATGTGTATATATATTTTACATCTTTATTTCTTCAATTTTAACTGTTAAAGAAGATGTAGAGTCCCTGCTATTTAAGATCAGAAATGTAGGGTTCCCTGGGTGGCGCAGCGGCTTAGCGCCTGCCTTTGGCCCAGGGCGCGATCCTGGAGACCCCGGATCAAATCCCACGTCAGGCTCCCGGTGCATGGAGCCTGCTTCTCCTCCTGCCTGTGTCTCTGCCTCTCTCTCACTCTCTCTGTGTGTAACTATCATAAAATAAAAAAATAAATAAATAAAAAAATAAGATCAGAAATGTAGCACATTTTCTTTTGCTCTTCTTACCCCCATAGGGTTGCTGGATTTCCAAATAAAAACACAGGTTGCCTAATTAAATTTGAATACCATATAAGCAAATAATTTCTTGGTGCAAGTCCCATGCAATATTTGGGATATACTTATACTAAAAAATTATTCATTGTATATCTGAAATCTGAACGAGGTGTCCTGTATTTTATCCGACAACCCTAGTCTCCCACTCAGGCATTTATATATAATCTGCTTTTATTCATATATTAAATATTTTCTTGCACAGCTATTTAAAATTTTTGATATTTTATAAACAAATTAACAATTATTCTGACTTAACTCTATGTTTAACTGATTTTAGTGTTCATTACCAGTTTTAGGCACATTTAATGGCCACTTCTTGACCTCCCTTTAAGAAAGGAACATGTATGATACTTTGTTTTCTTATCTAACTTGGTGCTTGCATAATTTAAACAATGACAATTTAAAAAATACCAAAAGTGATAATAGGTTTTTTAATCTCACAATTCTAAAGGTGTCGTTCAGCTGTCTTTTGACATTTACTGTTGGAGTTCTTTATCCATTCTCTCTTTCCACTCTCTTTGTAGAGACCAGAATTTTTCTTTCTGCATGCTTTCAATTGTTCTTTTTTCCCTGTTTCTAAGCATGATTTTTATTTGGTTTTGCCTAAAATCTAGTAAGCCATATGTACGTTTAGCGCAGGTAAAATGTCTTAATTTCTTTGATCACTGATTCTATTCTACGTTCTTTTTATCTTCCTTAGAAACACCTTTAATTCCTACATTGCATCTCCATTCTTTACACTCCGTCTTGTCTCATTGTTTCCATCTCATTATCCTTTGTGTATGCACTGAAGATCTTCTGAAGTATATTCACTACAGTGTTTGATATTCTGCAGTGCCAATTCTGCTCTTACTGCCTTTTACTTTGATCCATTTTAAATTTCCCTGTAGTCCATTATTTCTCTTTTCATTTTAGAGGCTCTTCTGTACTTAGATTTCTACTCTAGTTTTACTGATTTCAGGTTTTCTGTCATGCCACTTAGAACACCAATTTTTTGAAAATTCCTTCAGGAGACTGAAATAGCTAATTTTCAGGGCTATCAGGTTTTACCTCTTCACAGTGGTGTTCTTTCTTTGGTGCTGCAATTCCTTGTTATTTCCCTGAACACGTCCACTTAATTTAGTTTCTCTTGGGTAATGATGTCTGAGCATATTTATATTACCAATAGTTAGGACTGGTGTATTCCTGCTGACTCTGCTCCATTTTACAATGGCCACATTCTCTCTCCTAGCATTAATTAATTTCAGTTTTGCACATAGCCCTGCATTCACTTCTGCTTCCAGCAGCTATTTCTCATTACCACTCTGTTCTACTGAGAATAAGTCAGTCTACTGCTTAAATCTCTTAATTTTGAACAGTTGGACTATCTTTAGTTTCCTGAAGATTCACTTCTATCAGCTTTTGCTGACATCTTTCACACGGATATTAAATATTGTACTTCTTGTTACATGGTATCTGAACCTATGAATCAATGTGGAAACCTGGAGAGGGGGATGTGAGAATCGACCGTGGTAACGTAAAAGTGCAGGACCCCTGCAAAAGAATGCTTCCTGACTCTTCTGGTTGACGGAGATAACATCTCTTAAGACATCCTATCTTAGATAAAGGGTCATGCAGTGCTTTCCTGTGTCCTAACCAATCGAATTGTACTGGCCCAATAGTTAATTCTTCCATATTTGAGCAAGAGGTTATCTACCAGTTTGAGTTTCAAGTTTTGTGTTTTGTCCCTGTGGCTTTCTGGGGACTTTACAAAGGAGTCAGAATGCTGTTTCATAGATAGCTAACCAATTTCCGTTCAAAACAAAATGTAAGTAAATGTTTTGAAGTCAATGAAAATACAGGGTTGAATACACAGTATGATTTCAATGTACATGAAAATGCACAAAAAAAGACTAGAATAAAACAGTATGAAGAGTTTTCTCCTTGAATCCTTCATATATTTTATAATGGACAGGTATAATAGAATAGAAAAAGTAAATACACTTTCATTTTAAATATATAGGCATCCCAAGGATTTCTTCTTGAAGTAAATGATTCTTAGTGGGAGTTAGGGGAAACTATAAATGTTGCTTGGGATTATTCAGGTTATTTATAGAATTTTCTTCCCAGCAGCATTTATTGGGCTTAAGGTTAAGCTTTGATTAAAGTGGTTAACGAGATGAATGTAATTATAAGGTTTCTCGTGGGTGATTATTGTGAATATGTAAACTGTGATCAAATCCCTTATAATACTCATGGCATTTATGAGGTTTTTCTCCTGTGTGGACTCTCTGATGAATTCGAAGAGCCGAGCTATGACTGAAACCCTTGCCACACTTAGTGCATTGATAAGGCTTCTCTCCTGTGTGGACCCTCTGATGAATGTGAAGATTAGAGCTGTGACTAAAGCCCTTTCCACAGTCCTCACATTTATAGGGTTTTTCTCCTGTGTGAACTCTCTGATGAATGAGAAGGTGCGAACGCTGACTGAATCCCTTACCACACTGTTCACATTTATAGGGTTTCTCTCCAGTATGGACTCTTTGATGAGTGTGAAGCTTCGAACTCTTGCTGAAGCCCTTCCCACATTCATGACAAGTATAGGGTTTCTCCCCAGTATGGACCCTCTGATGAATACGAAGATCAGAGCTGTGACTAAAGTCCTTCCCACAGTCATCACATTTATAAGGCTTCTCTCCTGTATGTACTCTCTGATGAATCTGGAGATTTGAGCGCTGGGTAAAGCCCTTACCACAGTCATCACATTTATAGGACTTCTCTCCTGTGTGGACTAACTGATGAATTCGAAGATTTGAGCTCTGACTGAAGCCCTTACCACATTCATCACACTTATATGGTTTCTCTCCTGTGTGGACTCTCTGATGAACATGAAGTACTGAACTCCGACTAAAACTCTTACCACACTGATCACATTTAAAAGGCTTCTCTCCAATGTGAAGTCTCTGGTGAATATGGAGTAAAGAATTTCGACTGAGGTCCTTATTACATTCAAATTTATAAAGTTTCTCTTCTGTATGGATTCTTTGATGACTGTGAAGACTAGAGATCTGACTGAAGCTGTTACCACACACGTGGCATATATAAGAAACCTCCCCTGGGCAGACTCTCTGATGAAAGTGAACACCTAAGCTCTGAGTGAAGTTATCATCAACTTGATCACATCCATACAGCTTCTTTCCTATGTGAATTCTTGGATGTCTGGATAGATCTGATCTTGGAGAGAAACATGCTGTGCTGATAGAGCATTGATAGAACTTTTCTCCAAGTTGATTTCTTTTGTGGAGAACACACTGTGAGTTCCAATAATAAATTTCTTTACATATATTACATCTACAGTATTCCTCTTCCATAGAGTTTTTCAGTAGGTCATGTTGACATAGCTCCCCGGTGTAGTCCGGAAGGGCTTCCACTGTTGGGACATAAGAATGCTGAACTATGAGCTTCTGTTCTTTTTCCACAGAGAAATTTTTCCTAGATATGTCAAAGTGGCATCTGCTTCCTTGAAAACCATGTGATTCATTCATGTAGATTTCTCTAGCATAGTCTTGAGGGTTATGTTTTGTTTCTAAGGACTTCCAAGGTATAAGCTTTGTATATTTTAAGTTCCTGGCACTTTTGTCTTCAAAAGTCAGTTCATAGTTCCCATACCCTGGTACTTGTGTGGAGAGTATTAACCATTCTTGATGGTGGGAAAGGTCTTGTTGCTTTAGGTCTTTGGAATTTATTCCTTGGACAGTTTCCACATAGTTTCTATTCTCATATATCTGAGTGCTGGCATTCCTCCAGCCTTGCCAACAGGGAAGATTTTCATGTTCTAAATATCTGAATTTTTCTTCTTGGAATTTGTAGCTCTCTTTCCCGTTTCCTAAAAGAATAAGCAGATAATCCACTGGTGAGATGAAAGTGGTTTTAAAAAATTTCCAAGTATCTCAATCTGTGAATTCCAGATTTATGGGACTATATGTGTGCGTGAGAGTGGGAAAGAATTATGACTTAGGCTGCTTCGTATGTCTGAAATTCATGTGTTTGTTCATTCATTCACTTAGTCATTCCATAGATATATCTTAAGCCATCTACTACTTACCAAGTATTGTTATAAATAAACAAGTAAGGCCGACTGCTTTGTGGAAATCACCTTAAAAACTAAGATCTGGGATCCCTGGGTGGCTCAGCAATTTAGCACCTGCTTTCAGCCCAAGGCGTGATCCTGGAGTCCCGGGATTGAGTCCTGCATCAGGCTCCTTGCATGGAGCGTGCTTCTCCCTCTGCCTGTGTCTCTGCCTTTCTTTCTCTCTGTGTGTCTCATGAATAAATAAAATATTTAAAAAAAATAAAAAAACAACTAAGACTTAATTAGATTACTGTATTTGGGGCATTATGATAAGAAATAACATACTGTTTCTATTTTTCTGTGCTAGCAGAGCATGACAGATTGTGTGAAAAAATGGCTGCATTAACTCTGTACCTTTGGTACCCCTTCCATGCTGACTTTAGCTTGGCTATACAGCTTACTTTGTTTACTGGGACAACAGCAAAAGTGATACCAGTAGAGACTTGAAAGTGCTTGTGTATTGGGGCTTGCCCTCTCTCTTGCTAGTTTTGAAAATCCTATGACCACTACCATGTAAAAAAAAAAAGCCTGGGCTAGGCTGCTTGAAGAGGGATATATGGGGATCCCTGGGTGGCTCAGTAGTTTGGTGCCTGCCTTCAGCCCAGGGCGTGATCCTGGAGTCCCAGGATTGAGTCCCACATCAGGCTTCCTGCATGAAGGCTGCTTCTCCCTCTGTCTGTGTCTCTCTACCTCTCGCTCTCTCTCTCTCTTTCATGAATAAATAAATGAAATCGTTAAAAAAAAAAAAGAAGAGGGATATATGGTCAACAACACATCCCCATTATCCCCACTGATAATGACCAACTGCCAGACATGTAAGTCACTGTCCAGCCTCATCTGAGACCATCCAGCACCAATCAGATCATTCTGTGATAAGACGAAGAGGGACACTATATCATACTTAAAGGATCTATCCAGCAAGAGGACTTAACAATCCTCAATATATATGCCCCGAATGTGGGAGCTGCCAAATACTTAAACGAATTATTAACCAAAGTGAAGAAATACTTAGATAATAATACACTTATACTTGGTGACTTCGATCTAGCTCTTTCTACCCTCAATAGGTCTTCTAAGCACAACATCTCCAAAGAAACGAGAGCTTTAAATGATACACTGGACCAGATAGATTTCACAGATATCTACAGAACTTTACATCCAAACTCAACTGAATACACATTCTTCTCAAGTGCACATGGAACTTTCTCCAGAATAGACCACATACTGGGTCACAAATCGGGTCTGAACCGATACCAAAAGATGGGGATCATCCCCTGCATATTCTCAGACCATAACGCCTTGAAATTAGAACTCAATCACAAGAAGAAGTTTGGAAGGACCTCAAACACGTGGAGGTTAAGGACCATCCTGCTAAAAGATAAAAGGGTCAACCAGGAAATTAAGGAAGAATTAAAAAGATTCATGGAAACTAATGAGAATGAAGATACAACTGTTAAAAATCTTTGGGATGCAGCAAAAGCAGTCCTGAGGGGGAAATACATCGCAATACAAGCATCCATTCAAAAACTGGAAAGAACTCAAATACAAAAGCTAACCTTACACATAAAGGAGCTAGAGAAAAAACAGGAAATGGACCCGACGCCCAGCAGAAGAAGAGAGTTAATTAAAATTCGAGCCGAACTCAACGAAATTCAGACCAGAAGAACTGTGGAACAGATCAATAGAACCAGGAGTTGGTTCTTTGAAAGAATTAATAAGATAGATAAACCATTAACCAACCTTATTAAAAAGAAGAGAGAGAAGACTCAAATTAATAAAATCATGAATGAGAAAGGAGAGATCACTACCAACACCAAGGAAATACAAACGATTTTAAAAACATATTATGAACAGCTCTACGCCAATAAATTAGGCAATCTAGAAGAAATGGACGCATTCCTGGAAAGCCACAAACTACCAAAACTGGAACAGGAAGAAATAGAAAACCTGAACAGGCCAATAACCAGGGAGGAAATTGAAGCAGTCATCAAAAACCTCCCAAGACACAAGAATCCAGGGCCAGATGGCTTCCCAGGGGAATTCTATCAAACATTTAAAGAAGAAATCATACCTATTCTACTAAAGCTGTTTGGAAAGATAGAAAGAGATGGAGTACTTCCAAATTCATTCTATGAGGCCAGCATCACCTTAATTCCAAAACCAGACAAAGACCCCACCAAAAAGGAGAATTACAGACCAATATCCCTGATGAACATGGATGCAAAAATTCTCAACAAGATACTAGCCAGTAGGATCCAACAACACATTAAGAAAATTATTCACCATGACCAAGTAGGATTTATCCCCGGGACACAAGGCTGGTTCAACACTCGTAAAACAATCAATGTGATTCATCATATCAGCAAGAGAAAAACCAAGAACCATATGATCCTCTCACTAGATGCAGAGAAAGCATTTGACAAAATACAACTTCCATTCCTGATCAAAACTCTTCAGAGTGTAGGGATAGAGGGAACTTTCCTCGACATCTTAAAAGCCATCTACGAAAAGCCCACAGCAAATCTCATTCTCAATAGGGAAGCACTGGGAGCCTTTCCCCTAAGATCAGGAACAAGACAGGGATGTCCACTCTCACCACTGCTATTCAACATAGTATTCGAAGTCCTAGCCTCAGCAATCAGAGAACAAAAAGACATTAAAGGCATTCAAATGGGCAAAGAAGAAGTCAAACTCTCCCCTTCGCCGATGACATGATACTCTACATAGAAAACCCAAAAGCCTCCACCCCAAGATTGCTAGAACTCATACAGCAATTTGGTAGCGTGGCAGGATACAAAATCAATGCCCAGAAATCAATGGCATTCCTATACACTAACAATGAGACTGAAGAAAGACAAATTAAGGAGTCAATCCCATTTACAATTGCACCCAAAAGCATAAGATACCTAGGAATAAACCTAACCAAAGAGGTAAAGGATCTATACCCTAAAAACTATAGAACACTTCTGAAAGAAAATGAGGAAGACACAAAGAGATGGAAAAATATTCCATGCTCATGGATTGGCAGAGTTAATATTGTGAAAATGTCAATGTTACCCAGGACAATTTACACGTTTAATGCAATCCCTATCAAAATACCATGGACTTTCTTCAGAGACTTAGAACAAATTATTTTAAGATTTGTGTGGAATCAGATAAGACCCCGAATAGCCAGGGGAATTTTAAAAAATAAAACCATATCTGGGGGCATCACAATGCCAGATTTCAGGTTGTACTACAAAGCTGTGGTCATCAAGACAGTGTGGTACTGGCACAAAAACAGACACATAGATCAATGGAACAGAATAGAGAACCCAGAAGTGGACCCTGAACTTTATGGTCAACTAATATTCAATAAAGGAGGAAAGAATATCCACTGGAAGATAGACAGTCTCTTCAATAAATGGTGCTGGGAAAATTGGACATCCACATGCAGAAGAATGAAACTAGACCACTCTCTTGCACCATACACAAAGATAAACTCAAAATGGATGAAAGATCTAAATGTGAGACAAGATTCCATCAAAATCCTAGAGGAGAACACAGGCCACACCCTTTTTGAACTTGGTCACAGTAACTTCTTGCAAGATACATCCACGAAAGCAAAAGAAACAAAAGCAAAAATGAAATATTGGGACTTCATCAAGATAAGAAGCTTTTGCACAGCAAAGGATATAGTCAACAGAACTAAAAGACAACCTACAGAATGGGAGAAGATATTTGCAAATAACATATCAGATAAAGGGCTAGTTTCCAAAATCTATAAAGAACTTATTAAACTCAACAGCAAAGAAACAAACAATCCAATCATGAAATGGGCAAAGGACATGAAGAGAACTCTCACAGAGGAAGACACAGACATGGCCAACATGCACATGAGAAAATGCTCTGCATCACTTGCCATCAGGGAAATACAAATCAAAACCACAATGAGATACCACCTCACACCAGTGAGAATGGGGAAAATTAACAAGGCAGGAAACAACAAATGTTGGAGAGGATGCGGAGAAAAGGGAACACTCTTACACTGTTGGTGGGAATGTGAACTGGTGCAGCCACTCTGGAAAACTGTGTGGAGGTTCCTCAAAGAGTTAAAAATAGACCTGCCCTATGACCCAGCAATTGCACTGTTAGGGATTTACCCCAAAGATTCAGATGCAATGAAACGCCGGGACACCTGCACCCGATGTTTCTAGCAGCCATGTCCACAATAGCCAAACTGTGGAAGGAGCCTCGGTGTCCATCGAAAGATGAATGGATAAAGAAGATGTGGTTTATGTATACAATGGAATATTACTCAGCCATTAGAAACGACAAATACCCACCATTTGCTTCAACGTGGATGGAACTGGAGGGTATTATGCTGAGTGAAGTAAGTCAATCGGAGAAAGACAAACAGTGTATGTTCTCATTCATTTGGGGAATTTGAATAATCGTGAAAGGGAATAGAAGGGAAGGGAGAAGAAATGTGTGGGAAATATCAGAAAGGGAGACAGAACATAAAAACTCCTAACTCTAGGAAACGAACTAGGGGTGGTGGAAGGGGAGGAGGGCGGGGGTGGGGGTGAATGGGTGACGGGCACGGAGGGGGACACTTGACGGGATGAGCACTGGGTGTTATTCTGTATGTTGGTAAATTGAACACCAATAAAAATTAATTTATAAAAAAAAAAAAAAAAAAAAAGAATAAAAATCACAGAGGCACCTGGATGGCTCAGTGGTTGAGGTCTGCCTTCAGCTGAGGGTATGATCCCAGGGTCCTGGGACTGAGTACTGCATTGGGCTCCTTGCAGGGAGTCTGCTTCTCCCTCTGCCCATGTCTCTGCCTCTCTCTCTCTCTCTCTCATGAATAAATACAATCTTTCAAAAAAAAGAATTAAAATCTGGGATGCCTGGGTGGCTCAGCGGTTAAACATCTGCCTTCTGGCTCAGGACGTGATCCTGGAGTCCTGGGATCGAGTCCCACATCAGGCTCCATGCTTCTCCCTCTGCCTATGTCTCTGGCTCGCTCGCTCTCCCTCTCTCTTTCTCTCTTTCTCTCTCTCTCTGTGTCTCTCATAATAAATAAATAAAATTAAAAATAATAATAAAAATCACAAACACCTATTAATTACATAGCCTAGGTGTCTTAGGGGAGATGTCTCACTCTATCTTCTGTCATCTATGACCCAATTTCTGAGGGTCATATTTCTCCTATCTCAATACAATACCTAGATGAAGAACCAAAACACTCAACAAAAGTGGTCCCAGAAGAAACAAATTCTGTTACTTAAGAGCTGGGATAACTTTACCTATTGACATGACATTTGTGTAGTTCTCCCACATGACCTCTCTGTAGAGCTTTTTTTGAGAAGAATCCAGGAACTTCCACTCCTCCCAAGTAAAAATAACAGTCACATCTTCAAATGTTACTGCCATCTGGTCAAAGATCAGGTTTTCCAGGAAGAAGAAATCTAAGTAAGAAGATGGGTAAAGAAACAGCCATTTAACAGGTAATATAAGTGACAAAATCAAAAAAGAAGGAACTTCAGTAATGAAGAAAAACAAGCAGAGACATAATAATACGGTTGGATAAATAATGTATCCCGTCACTGAAGCCCATCTGTCATAAGAAACATTTATATAGAATCTTTCTGCTGACCACTAGGCTAAGGACTTTACATATATTTCAAGTAGTCCTCATAGCAACCATCTCTTGTAGACACTATTATTATCCCAATTTTAAAAATTAGTAGATAATGGGGGATCCCTGGGTGGCGCAGCGGTTTGGCGCCCGCCTTTGGCCCAGGGCGCGATCCTGGAGACCCGGGATCGAATCCCACGTCGGGCTCCTGGTGCATGGAGCCTGCTTCTCCCTCTGCCTATGTCTCTGCCTCTCTCTCTCTCTCTCTGTGACTATCATAAATTAAAAAAAAAAAAAATTAAAAATAAATAAATAAAAATTTAAAAAAAAAAAATTAGTAGATAATGGTTGAAAAAGATTAAGTCAATTGACCCCTCAACCCTTTATATACTGGAAATGTTCATATTCCTGCTTCAATCTGGGCTGGCTATTCTTTAGTGTTCTATTTTCTTTTTTATTTATTTATTTTTTTAGTGCTCTATTTTCATGATCATAGGCTTCTTTTTGTGATTTACTCCATTAATTGGGAGGTATACACCCAAATGAGTTCAATCAAGCTATGAATGTTAACTCCATGGCCACTGGAAAAGCAAAAGGTGAGAAACAGGCAAGGTTTTTTTTAGGATACCTTTGATTTAAAGGAGAATCTCCAAGCATGGTTACACTGTATGCTTGAAGTCCTTATCATCACTCACAAGTAGTTGGGTATTAAATTCTAGAGCAAAAGGAATTTTATCAGAACTGCTTCACTGTTCATAAGTCTTCATTATTGTCTCTAATTCTTCTATTGTTTCTATTTTTTTTTTAACTTTAATTCCTTTGCAGGCAACTTTTTCTTTCCTCTTTGGAAATATTTTAGGATCCTCTTTTTTGACTGGCCCTTTGCCTCCAATGGTACGGATGTATCCTCAGCTTCCCAAAGTTCACAGGGCTCATCAAATCCTTCTTGTGCTTATTCTTCTTGGGAGCATTCCAGGATGTAATGTGTCTAGCCCTGTGTGGCTCTTAACACTGTTCTTCCTGTTCCCTTCCAAGCTTTTTTAAGATTTGATTGATTGATTGATTGATTGAAAGAGCCAGCAAACATGCACGCTAGTCCCGGAGCAGGGTAGAGGGAGACAGAGAGAATCCAGAGCAGACTCCAGACTGAGTATGGAGCCTGAGGTGGAACTTGATCCCAGCACCTCAAGATCATGACGTGAGCTGAAATCAAGAGCCAGACACCCAACCAACTGAGTCACCCAGGCACCTTTTCCATATTTTTTGTTGAAATTTCTCATTTGCTGATGGTTCTTTCTTTACTTCATCATTGCAGGTTCATATATTTTTTAGTTTTTTATTACCATGCAGTTTTAGAAAGAAAAATGTATGTATTCATACTGCCTAAAAATACCTTTTTTAGTGAAGAAAACAGCTCATAAGTTGATTATGTGACAAATTAATTTCATTTCTTTGATGATATATTCTCAATTCTAAAGTTTAATTAAAAATGTTTAGTAAATACTACGAATAAAGGAAATAGGTACTTTTCATGGAGGAAAACTAGGATATCATGACCATCAAATCATAATCATAGCAGTTAAATATTATCAAGAAGTTATGTGAAAAGGACTGTTATTTCTATCACAACAATCCTTAAGGTATAATTATCAACACTAAAGGAATAAGGAAACCAACATTTAGCAAGATTAAGTAACTTGTACAAGGTAATGCAGTTAAAAAATAATGGTTTTTAAACACAGGACTACCTGCTAAGTTGAAGTCAAGAGAAGTCAAAAACAACTTGGTGAAGGGTTCTAAATCAAGATTTCTTTTTTTTTTTTAAGATTATTTATTTATTTATTCTTAGAGACACAAAGAGAGAGGCAGAGACACAGACGGAGGGAGAAGCAGGCTCCATGCAGAGAGCCTGACTTGGGACTCGATCCAGGGTCTCCAGGATCACACCCTAGGCTGCAGGTGGCGCTAAACCGCTGCGCCACCAGGGCTGCCCTAAATCAAGATTTCCATTTACATCCTTTTTGTGTTAACAAAAGGACAAAAGGAGGATGTACTGAAATATTTAAGGATTCAAAATATACCTCCTAGGTATTGCTTTCCATATAAACCACATGAAAATCCATGCCTAAACAATGAAATATTAACCACAAGTAAGAACTCAAGAATGAGAAAATGCAGTGTTTATTTTTAAATGTTTATAAAACAAATGTTAAAAACTTAAAGTACAATAAGTCTATTTTAATACATACAAGTGAAAATATAAGAAAAAATTGGGATGCTCAGAAGCCCAGACTACAGGACTGAAAACTGCAGTCAGAAAATAAAAGAACTCATTGGTTTCTTACTTAGTAAAAAGTACAGAAAAATAAAACTCAGCCTGTTGTTATTGGCTTTGTTACTTTTTAAAATATTCAAGAATTCCTTAAAAAAAATGTAAGAATTTATTTAAAAAATTATACTAGAGGGCTCAGTCAGTTAAGTGGCAGACTCTTAATTTCAGTTCAGGTCGTGATCTCAGGGTCCTGGGATTGAGCCCCATATCAGGCTACACACTCAGCAGGAAGTCTGCTTGAAGATTCTCTCTCTCTCTCTATCCCTCCCCTTGCTCGTGCGTGCTCTCTCATTCTAAAATAAATAAATAAATCTTAAAATATATATACTAAAGATTGAGTCTAATTGCTCTTACTGAAAATATATCCATAAAACTTTTAAATAATTCTGAATTAATATCAATAAAAACTAAAAGCCATCCTCCCCAAATACCTTGGGAGATAATCAAGATAGTTTTTACTGTTGCCTTTCTGACATTTTTTCATGCATACACAAAAGCATGCATACATACCCCACTGCATTTTTTCTTAACAAAGATGTGATAATTCTGGTTTGCATTTTTCACATAATATATAATGTACAGCTTCACATATCAGTTCATATAGGTCTATCTTATTTGTGGTGGTTTTACGATATGCCCACAAATTATTTGATTCCCTTCCCTTCAAGATGTATAGCCAGTTCCCCACCCCTTGAGCATGGGCTGGACTTAAGAACTCACTTCTGATGAATATTATATTAAAAAATGTAAGGGAAAGAAGTAATGGTGTACAACTTTCAAGACTGGCGCTTTTTCTAAGATTTTATTTTGTTTATTCATGAGAGAGATAGAGAGGCAGATACGTAAGCAGAGGGAGCAGGGTCCCTGCGGGGAACCTGATGCAGAACTCGATCCCAGGACCCAGGGATCACGACCTGAGCCAAAGGCAGACACTCAACCACTGAGCCACCGAGGCGTCCCTCAAGACTAGCTCTTAAAGGCACTGCAGCTTCCTTTCTGCCCTTTTTCTTAGATCACTCACTCTGGGAGAAGCTACCTTCCATGTGGTGAGAATACTAAGGAGCCCTGTGAAGCGGCCACATGGCCAGGAACTGAGGCCTTCTGTCCTCAGTGAGAAATGAGGCCTCCTGCCAACAGCCACATGAGTGAACCATTTTAGCAGAGGATCCTCCAGCCCCAGTGAAGCCTTCAAATGGCTGCAGTCCCGCTGACAGTTTGACTGTAGTCTCATGACAGACCCTGAGCCAGAACCACACACCTATGCTGCTCTGAGCTTCCTGACCCTTAGAAATTGAGTGACATAATGTCTGTTATTTTAAGCTGCTATGTATAATTTAGTATGCAATAAATGTTATTGTTCTAGCATACATTCTATTAGCAGTTAATTACCATTACAGTTAAACTTTTTTATAAAAAATAGAAAGTAGGGGATCCCTGGGTGGCTCATCTGTTAGTGCCTGCCTTTGATCCTGGAGTCCTGGGATTGAGTCCCACATCAGGCTCCCTGCATGGAGCCTGCTTCTCCTTCTGCCTGTGTCTCTGCTTCTCTCTCTCTCTATCTCTATCTCTCATAAATAAATAAATAAAATCTTAAAAAAAATAGAAAATAGAAAGTGAAAATTGCTAGCTCATTATGTGGCTAGTGTAATCTTGACTCCCAAGACCAAATAAAGACAATACAAAAACATGAAATTATAATCCCATTTGTAAATTCTATAAATCTATAAAAGTTCTAAATAAAATATTAGCTAATTGAATTCAGAAATATAGTAAAAATATACATCATGATCAAGCATGGTTTATTACAGGAAGAAAGGACAGTTAAGCATGAGAAAATCTATTCACATAATTCACAGTGTTAATAGACTACAGAAGAAAACCTTAATTCACTAATGAGAAAAATCAGACGATAAAGTTCATAATATTCACCACCTTTATACGGTCTTTAAAAATACTTTTAGCAAAGTAGGAATAAAAACAAACTTTCCTCATTCAGTAAAGTTTACATATTAGAAACCTACATAAACATTAAGCTGAATAGACAAATTTTTTGTGTTCCTTTTATTATGGTAAATTAGTTATATAAGAATGACTACCATCACCATTGCTTTCAACAATGCTGACAAATACTATAAGAAAATGAAACAAGAGGCATAAGGATTAGAAGTAAAAACAAAAAATGTAACTTTCTGCATTTATAGCAATCTACCTAGAAAAATCAAGAGTACAGAGATAAACCATAAACTAAACATAGAGCTTAGCAAAATTACCAGATATAATAATGCATAACTGTATCAGCAATCACCTACTAGAATACAGAGGATACCATTCACAAAAAGCAAAACAGGGGTGCCTGGATGGCTCAGTGGTTGAGCATCTGCCTTTGGCTCAGGTCATGATCCCTTGGGATTGAATCCCACATCGGGCACCCCCACAGGGATCCTGCTTCTCCCTCTGCCTATGTGTCTGCCTCTCTGTGCCTCTCATGAATAAATAAA